CCTCAGAAATTCCTCCACAAAGACATCCCTATTCTTAGACAAATAATCTTTGACTGTTTTGCCATAATCAAATTAAATCAAATTAAGAAAATAAGTAAGTAACAAGAGCATTAAACTAGTGACTTTGTTTGATTCTTTCTATATATAGAGAGAGAAAAAAATTAAAGGCATACCTTTAATTTTTAGACTATAAAACCATAAGATTCAATCAAAATCTGATTTCTTATAATTTTTTAACACGCAGCTTTCTAAGGGCAACTGTTTATTTGCTCTTAGCCCCCTCTCAAAATAAGTAATGGAATAGTAAAATATACTGATATTTTCTTAGATTTTAAAGAAAACGATATCATTATGGTACAATTAATAAACTCGCGGCTTTCCTCACTTATTGCTGTACACAAAAGCGAAAAATTGCATGGCAAAAATTTAGACCTTTGTGATTATGATTAGAAAATAAACAAGTTTTTTACAAGTTCAGTTAATTACTTCTATCATTATATCAAGTAATTTGTGAAATGTTATTTATATCCGTAGTTTTAAATAAACTCTGGATAAAAAATACCAAAAGCTGCAAATAAAATAAGAAATTTTCTGTGGTACCAAGATATTTTACTTTTTACTTTATTAAAAAAATAAGGAAAACATATCGAAAATCATATTGTTTCAGTAAGAAAATATTGCTTCTATCCTAGGCAAGCAATCATATATAAGGGGTAAATTAAGTAATTAAAGTCTAGGTTACTACTTGAAACACAAAAATATTTTATATTATGCCCATATGCATATAGATTGCTCATAAAGAATTAAATAAATAAATAAATATATAAACTTGTACACACACATATACTTGCAGGTTTATGAACAAAAAAAAATTAAACATTTATAATTCTTTTCTTTTAATGTCTTGATTTGCAGTTTTTCACAAAATTTATATTTGGTAACATAAACCTCGACTTACTGTTCCAAGTCGAATCACAAACGCTAACATATACCTTCTTGGAAACTACCAAAATGCAAAGTTTTGACAGTGATTGATATTTTTACAGCCGACTCTAATCAGTCTACTTGATGATTCACCACAGGTGTGGGGGGATAAAAAAAAAACTACTTAACGCTTTTCATGCATTCTGTGAAGAAAAGGTTCTGCGGTTTTCAAAAGTTTTTGTTGACAAAGCTGGTGACGCTTTAGAAAGCAATACCTTATCTTTTTCAAAACCTCCAGAGGGTTAAGTCCACTTAATCTTGAAATATTCTGGCTTGAGTCTAGCATTGAACCTGTCAATGGCACGCCCTTGCTATGATGCTGCCTCAACAATTCAATCATTCCTTTGTCACGAGCATCACTTTTAGCATAAAGAATGACTTTTTTGTAATTCATTGTGAGTGGGATGTCAGAATACACAAAAAATTCATGAGCTCCTTCTTCATTTTTTAATATCATATATTGTTGACTTTTCAGTGTGTATTCCTTGCATAATTATCATTAAAAACAGGTATGCCTTTATCCATTTTTAAAGCAATTCCACTTTTTGCTTACTTCACACTGAAACATGCTTTTGTGCTGCAGATCCCTGCCACGGCTCTAAATTAAAAAAAAAAAAAAAAAAAAAAAAAAAAAACCTCTTTTTGACATAACTGAAAAATCCGGCCTCAAATTTTTATAAAATAGTTCTAATAACAGCCTGCAAAAAATAATAGGATGATCAAATAAGAAAGTTACGGAAGAGAGCAATTTGCTGTATTAACTGAAATTCCTCAGAATTTTTCTCTTCTCTTCATTATGCTAAAAAAGGAAAACCAATATAAGCAACCTACCACTCCACACAAATATGTTTTGGGGGCTTCATTTACTGTTTAATTCAGACAGAAAAATGCTATCTCCCATAACCACTCAAAGACCAAAAGTGCATTAACTACTGTATTATCATTAACCAGTGTCTGATTGGTACTGCCATTAACCTTGTCTATTAACCAATGTATTGCCATTGGTAACAGTGAGATTTCCTAGCCAGCAAATATTTCAATGTGGCATGCAGGAATCTCAGTAAGTTGGGAGCAAAATCGCTTTTTCTTCACTCACCACTTTCTTTTATATGTAGTATTATATTTTCCATTCCTAAACTCTGTAAGAAAAATACATTTTATTCCCAAAGCTGGTGGTCTGTAAGTGCAGATAGTGGGCATCCAGACTTCGGACTTTCTACCATACATACAAAGGACAGGAACTCCTTTAAAAAGCAGATAACTCAAAAACACAGTAAGTCAATAATACACTGAAAGCTCTGCTAGCAGAGTTAACTCTCACTGCAACTCCAGTTAACTCCAGTGTTAACTCCAGTGTTATCCACCATTTACTCCTCTAAGAAGTTTAAACTATGACATCAGATTAGCATTCTGCAGATATGAGGGAAATGCACTAAGAACTGTGCATTAAGCTACTAGCATTCATAAGAAATATAGATGTACTACTTTAAATTAATAGCAGACCTCATGTTCCACTGAAAATCAGGCAAAAGATACATTATCTGGGATAAGACATTCTACTTGATCTTCTCCATTTACAGATCTTTCATCAACAAAATATTCTGGGGATCATTTACACCACCTTCAGTCAGTGAAATCCTTTACCAGTGATTTATCTATCAACTCTGCAGTCAAAGGCTTAAACAGACCATTAATTTACCTCTCAAGCGTAGCTTGAGTAACCCGTCTGTCTGCTGGGAGCAATGCATTAATGGTGCTAATGATAATCAGATTAAATTAATTTCTTGCTTCCTCCTCGCATCTGCTTTTCTTGCAACTATGAATTTGTTTGATTAAATTAAAATGAATAAATATGAAAAAAGAAAGCAATAAGTGCACTCCATTGCAAAAATAAAACAGAAGTCTACTCAAGGCTGTATAGCAAAACTGAAAAGCATAAGACTTGTATGACATAAGACATATTTAAGACTTTGAAGAAAAACAGGTTTGATGTTCGGCAAAAGCAGACTTGAAATCAATAATTAAATCAAGTTAATGAATGTGGAAAATCTTTTCACATGTTAATTTCACCTAATGAGAATATGTTTCATTTAATGTTAGCTGGATTAAAGTTAAAAAAATACTTAAGGTACCACCAATGATTAGAATGGGAGATTTATTAATTTCTGGCACAAGATTCCTGTTCTTAATGTAAGATTTTATTTCACTTATTAGGATAATAAGGATATGTATTTTTTAAAGTAAGTATAGTTCTAAATAACTATCAGCTTTTTTGTAAATTTTTTCATATCCAAAAGTTAAAAAAGGTTTTCACAAGTTAAACATGTTCAGCTCATATGTACACATATCAGTAAATGGAAGCAACTGAAACAAAATTTTAACACTTGTTATAAAAGGTAAACTCTAATATTATTTAGATTTATTACATATATTTAGTTCTGATAAATATTTCATGTAATTACAATATTAGTACTTACTCTTTACTTAGACCTAATACATTACAAAATCAGAAATAGTTTGTGTTCTCAAAAATAAAACTCCAGTCAACATCAGACATTAAAACAACCTAAAATCAACTCCAAAATTTGTGATTCCCTCCACAATTTCACTTCAAGAAAAACACAAAATTACACAGATCTTGAAACTATAATAAAAGCATGTATAAAACAAGAATTTTTACTAATATTGTTAGCTAAATTTCATAATAATTCCAAATATACTTTAAATAAGTAAATTCAAAATACAAAGCATGTAAGATTACTATACACCAATCTGGTTGAAAGAATAGTTTTATACGGTTAAAATATGTAAGCTGTTACACTATGGAAACCTGGCAAAAACCAAAAGTTTAAAACCTTACTTCCACACAATTTAACAATTTACAGTTTTAGACCTTTAGTTTAAACTGTAAAAATAAGCACAAAATAATGTCTATTAGGAAAAACAATAAAAAAAAGTACTAAGTGTTAGTACATACACTGAGCTCGTCAGTGCTGGGGAGAAGTGTTAGGAGGGTTTCGCTGAAGGAGATTGGAGGCTGGAAGTTTAAAACATTTTCTCAAAAATTTCAATTCTCAGAAAAATTGAATAACTAAAGTAGAGTGTGCTGGTCTGTACAACTTACTTTTTTATTTGCTTAATTTTTAAAGCCATGTTATAAATGGCAGGCAATATTAAACATAAATGAACCCCTCAGCACAACAACATTTATAATATCACACTTTGCAATTAAAATCAGGATTCAGAATACAGTTTGAAAGCTGAGTCACAGTAGCATGCCAGTGCTCTCCAATTTCCCTCCCCAGCAGACCCTCATAAAACTTAGTCATGCAAAATACCTGCCACCAAAAGAGTACTCCACTAAAATACAAAAAGGACTCAAAAAAAATTTTTTTTTAACCTCAACCTAACAGATACAATGAAAACTGTAAAAATACTTGTGCCATGTGTCTGGTGAGCAAGTTCTTAATACTTAAAGAGTCAATTCTATGCTTACACAAATTTTACAATGTTTATACTGAATATAATCATTATCAGCAACTTTACATTATTTTAAGTTTAGGACTGCAATCATTTGCCAGTTTCAACTATTATATTAAAAATTATGTATAAAATTAAACATAGCTAGTTTATCACTGAATTTTAGTGCAAGAAGTGCTGATAGCAGACATAAGCTTCTGCACTTATCAATCTGATCATTGCAGTATCATATATTTTATTCAAAATTTAGATAAAATACAATTTTATATTTGTCTAAATTATAATTAAAGTAAAAATAGTTCATATATACATGAAATTAAGCTTATTTTACAAATTATTTATTAAATTGTATATTTCTAGATCTGCATAAAAATCATTAAATCCTTAGTATTCAAAGATATTCAAATGTTAATGAAATATATGTAGATTTTCAGATCATTGGTTATATTACCCCAATTTGAATGCAGAATAGTATAATTTATCAGTTAAGTTAAGAAGGAAAATTACTAATGATAGAAAATATGTTTAACTCTTACCTCATTTAGCTGAGTCACTATTTTATTGAAGGCAGTGATCCAGCGACGCTTAGCTCTTGACATAGTAGGATCGCCATCATCAATAGTCAGTTCAGGAACATCATTTCTTGGCATGATCATTTCATTGTTCATTTCTGACAAATCTAAAGATGGAGGCACTCCTTTATTTGACATTACACTAGGTCTCCTATCCCTCCCTATATCAGTTTCCTTATTATTAACAGTTAGATTATTTTCATACTCTGTTTCTCTATGAGTCACTACTGAGTCTCTATGAGGTGACTTATATACTAAATCATTTTCTGGTCCTAGATCATCTTCTGGGAGTTCTTCTTCCCTAATATCTGGAAATTCTGGTTTAGGTATGTCCTCTTTGTCAAAACTTTCTTCAGCAGGCAGCCACTCATTCCGTTCATTATCATCTTGCCATTTACTAATTACAGAGTCAATTTGATGATTAGTCATAGGTTCTTCAGACCATTCTTCAACTACCGTTTCTTCACTCCAACCATTCTTTATAGATTCAACTGCATGACTCTTCCAATGCTCAGCATTTTTAATTGGTTCAACTGTAGTGTGGCCAATCCACCGATCTTCATTATTTAAAGGTTCAGCCATAGTATATCTATCACTTATTTTTACTTCAGCTGGATGATCATTCCACTGTGTACCATTCTTTATAGGAGGCAAAACATGGCTATTCCTTCTTTCAGAAACTTTAACAGGTTCTAATTTTGAGCCATTCCACCTATCATTTGGTTGAACAGGTGGTTCAACTGGTTGAGAATTCCATCTGTCAACATCTACATTGGCAGGATGACCATTCCAACGATCTTTTGTTTTACCATGTTCTGGAGGAAGCCTTTCAATGACTGGAGGAACATCATCAACCCAACTGTTTCTACCATGAGCAGGTGTTTCTTTAATAATGGGAATATCCTTATTCCATTCCCCTCCTCTAGGACTCTCTTTGTAGTCAGTTTCAAAACTCCTTTTATTCCATTCACTGCCAGTGCTATCATTATGCCAATCTTCTGGCTCTGGCTTGGATCTATTACTTCTAACTGGAATTGTCCCATTAACCTGACTCCAATCAGTTCGAGGTTCTTCAGATATATATTTGCCACTTGTTTTAATAGGAGGTGGTTCTGGTTTGCCATTCCATTCTGGCATGTAATATGCATCTGAATCTGCATAGCTATGTGATGATGTATATCGACTACCTTTTTCCCAATCTGTAGAAACAGAATCTTCTCTAACACTTGGATAACTTTCAAAACTACTCTGAGGATAAGTTTCAGGACTGTCCCGATAACCATAATCATCTTGATTGAACTGTTCAATGAAACGGTCATGAAGGGATTCATCAAATCCAGTCTGACGCTCTAAACTACGACGCCTATCAGAACGTTGAAAACGTTCCAAATTCCTTTTATCAGTTTCATTATCAATAGTTTCTTCCTCAAAATGACAATGTCTCGAGCTTCTGTCTGTTTCGAATGAATAACGCACATCACTTTCATAATCTAAGCTAAGGCTATTATCATATCCAGATGTAGACCTAGTTGAGCGGGATCTAAAAATAACAACAATATATAACTAATGTGACTTACATATATTTATTTCATAAGAAAAAAAATTCTTAGTATATTTTATAGCAAAAGAAAAGTTATTGACTAACTAAATTTAATCAAACAAAACAGCAATAGTAAATATAGTCATGCAAAGGTCATACTGTTTGTAAAATAACCAGATTTGTTTAAGATAAGCAACATAATAGTATGCTTCAATAAACTAGAATTAAGATTTACATTTATTTAAATCTCAACATCATATAGCTATTTTTATGTGGCCTCTTTTAAATATAACAAAAATAAAACCTTATATTTTGCATGCATACTTTAATAGCAGTTTTGAAGATCATATTTATACAAAGCAAAACAGAAAACCCATCTTGCTATATTTTAAATGAGCATATTAATTCAACTACAAAAATAATATAGTAAGAGTAGAACATTTAAAAACATATCACTACAAAAAGAAACTTCTCAAACATAAATCTTAAGACCTTAAAATGATTCTTGTGACACTAGATTTACTTATCAACAATATATTACTTCTTAACCATTGAAAACATAACACCACAGAGAAAGGGATTTTGATTACCTAATATATAGATGAAAAATTTCTTGCACATAGTATACACAGAAGTATCTTTTTCCATAAAAAGCAAGCAGAAATATCTTTTGTTTAATTTGCTGCACTTATTACAATTTCACTTCTTGACAATAGTAACTATGATTAGCAGAAAAGAAATACAGGCTGAAATACTTTCTCACAAACCACATTTAAGTTTGCAAAATTAATTACATTAATTTTGGTAATTTTGGAATATCTACACCCCCACTGAAATGTTGGAAAAAAGTACTTTAAAAGACACAGCAGTATGTTGCCAAAAGGTATTTATGTGACAACTGAAGTATATGTCTGTGTTTCTGCTATACTACAACCCAATGACGTCTGTTTTGGCTAGTGAGAAATACAATATCATATGATACCGAGATCATGCAATTCTCTGATGTTTGTTTAAAACATGTTCACTGTCATGAACATCACCAGCTAGTTTTAAAAACCTTCATTCTATGCCACAAAAGCATTGCCCGTAGGTCACTGGTATCTTTCTACATAATGTTAAATAAAAAGTCTTGCGCAGTTCAGAAAAGACTTTGTATTTGTATGTGGCACTCTGGGATAAATGTTCTAAAAAAGTATTCAAGCATGGACACTTCGCACTGTTTATTATCAGCTCAACAAAGCTTCTATTTTGAATTTGAAATTTTTTTGATTTTGCAGACATGGGTGAATGAAGCAATAATTTTACATTTTTAAGCTAAAAAGGATAGTTTTTTTATTGAAATAAATTGTAAAATTTGGATTCTTTCATCAAATTATTTGGATTTTATTTCTTACCTCTTGATTTTACAATCAATAAAAAGCCTTTAAAAACAATTAAATTAGTCTTAAATTTGGCACCCCAATGATTAACTTCATATGGGAGCAGTGAATGTGTTAAGCAAAAACAGATTGCTGAGTACATGGAGAAAACAAAGTTCAAAAACAGAGGATTTAGCAAAAGGTAAATGTTCTATTATCTATGTTTTTTTTGCTTTTCCAATTTTATCAATTGATTGACCTTGTATGGAATCCTTAGTGTAGTGACACTTTGAAAATGGCTATTGCCTTTTGCACATTAGCTTGCTGAAATATCACTCATTAACAAGTTCACAAATCCTCTCTAATGTTACCAATTACTTCATGACTTTTTAGTCAGACTTTCATAATGTGAGAAATGTTCCTAATGCTTACTTTGAATGCTATGAGATTACCAGGAAAGAAGCAGAAATGCAACAAGTGTAGTTTTAAATACATGCTGCTTCTCTCCCTCTCATATATATATATATTTTTTTAACGTTTATGGTTCATCCATTCCATTATATTTTGATAATTCTCTGCTTATGATTTTTATCCAAGAAATTTTTTCTTAGAAAATTGCAATTAATTGTATTCATCTGCTGATCCAATTTTTAAAATGGAAGATATTTCTTACACTTCACTGACACTACCCTGAAATAAATTGTTTCTCAGGCATATAAATCTTAGCTACTTTGTATCACTGTTTTAATAAAACTCTTCACAAATGTTACTTTAATGTACAGCATCAGAAGGCATATAATTTTCTTTTTCTTTCTAGTATCTCCAAACACTTTATTGATGACAATAAACAATGGCATTAGTGATCTTATTTTGATCAATATTTTCAACTGTAATATATTTAATATATTTTCCTGTCACTGCAGTCCAGTTTTAAAAGAAAACAGCAATATTTTTCATAGCTCAGCCGAAATGCAATTAGAACAGAAACTGTCTAATTATTATTTTGATTGACACAAATGCTCTACCTAAATTTTCCCCCTTTCTTTTTTTTTGGGGGGGGGAGGAATCTCTTTCAGAAGGATTTCCAATTTTTCATAGTCCCACATAAAGGGACAATTTTTCAATCATAAATGTTAACTCATTATAAATACAGCAGAAAGAATTAACATAATAAACACACTTCCTAAACAGTATCATTATTTTTTAAGACAGATAATAGAACACTATACTGAAACAGAAGACGATACTGAAATCATAATACAGTCAAAAGTCGTTAATCCGGACTCGTCGGGACTTCGGCGATTCCGGATTATCGATTTTTCCGGATTATAGATCATGAGTTTAAATCTGGTAAGATGGCATACAGAAATTATAAAATTAAAAATATGAAACCGTAATTTATGAAATAAAGAACAATTATGATCTAAAGGGTATCAAAATTTACAAAAAAAAATGCTTCAATATTTATTTGTTTACTTTATTAAACATTTCTTTTCAATGTAAGTTGTTTAAGTTGCTTCGTTTTTTATGTGCTACTACTTTCTCTTTAATTCTATAAAACAGACATAATTTCTTCTTCAAGTTACAAAGTTCCGCTGTTCAAGTCCTGTAATTGCTGTGTTCGAAGAATACCGACTAAATTTGTCAATCGAAATTTTTCGTTTTCAGTAACCTTCTGTGTCACTTTCTTCACTATCGGAAGCGAATTATAATGACGAGGAATTTGATTTAAATCATGTCAAAGACGGAGTACATCGAGATGAAATACTACATTTAGTAAGGAATTATAAGCCAAATAAAATAAAAACATCTGCCCTGAAGATAAGGATAGTGCTGATAGATCAACTGCCGCAACCTTATTCATTGCGCGCCACGGCGTTTCCCCCCCTCCAGCCGTAGAGCAGCGTGAAATTGATAAACACATTTCATAATGGTTACAAAAATGAAGGATATGCTTTTATCCATTTTTTGCAGCAATTCCACTTTTTGTTTAATGGACTTCGAAACATACTTTCGCTTTGTAGATCCTTTACATATTAGTAAATATATATCGGAAATTCTATTTGACATAATTGAAAGTTCAAGCTTACTTTTATAAAATTGCTGTAACAGTCTGCAAAAAATAATAAGCCGGATCCAATTCGAAGATTAAGGAACAACGCAATCTGCAACATTAACTGAATTAGATAATTTTAGTTTAGCTTATACCATCCGTTATACATTAAACGCGCATGCGTAAACATATGCGCACACGCATATTCGCAGCCGTAAAGGTCTTATGCGCATGCGTCAACGCGACGCATGCATAGAAAGTTTGTAGCTTTGAGGTCCGGATTATAGATCATTCCGGATTATGGGTGTCCGAATTAACGACTTTTGACTGTATAGCAGCAGATACAATGGTAGCAACAGAAATTACTAAATTATCATTGTTCACACTTCCATTTTACAACATAAACCTAATTTATAGTTACAGTTAACTGAAAAATGGTACTGCAATGTAAAAAATAAAGATGTAAAGCACTAAAGTACTCACAAGCATAAATAAAAATTATTTATTAGCCTGCACCTATACACATAGTTTATATTTCAATATAACATTCTTACAAAACATTTGCATACTATCAGGTGACAACAAATGATATTTCTTAGGAACTACAAGAAATATCTAAATGCATATATGAAATTAGCATATACAAACATATAGAAAACAAGACATATATTTTGTGACAAAGTTATTTGCAAATCAGTGTAATTAACTTTGAAAAATAAGTTTAAAAATTTTCAAAATTCAAGTTGTTTAATTTGTCAATCCATTCAATAGATGCATGTCATGTAAACTGTATAAAAAGCATCTATTTTTCTTTCACGATATCAGATATAGGAATCCTGTATTAAGTTTCGAGAAAATCATACACTGATGTCTTTGGCATGCAGTCTGATAGTCGTGGCTTCAGTACAAAGGTCTGAGAAAAGGGAAACGCCAAGTGAAAAAGGAAGACATTTCTGTGAAAACACAGAAAAGTTGCAATTGAATAACGTTAAATTTGGAGACAACAGTAATGAAGCACTCAGAGTGATACTGTTTGCTTATGGTTGCAAAATACTTAGCTATGCTTCCATTATTTCAATGGTGGAACCATTTCAAAAATTGTAGCAAGCAAATGCTCTAACAGATGTCAACATTGCTAACTCATAAGCAAATAATGAGCAGGGACTACTATGTAAGAAACCTGAAAATAAATTTACACATAACATTGATGATGAAAAGATTTGATTTATTCCAAGCAAGGTTCTCTGCTCCCAAAGACAGTACCCAACTATATCTTGTTACTATAGCAGTGCTATATGAAATTTATGGGCATCACTATAATAACCTGTGCATAGCATGCACTAAGCATCATGAATTACTTAGCATTCTCAACATTGAAAAGCTAACAGTGTAGAAGGAAGGCATCTTTAAATGAGGAAATAAAAAAAGCCACATTTGAAAGGCTAACAAAGAAGTAATAAAACAGTATATTTGAATCATTTATAAAAACTCATGAAAAAAGTAATTTAATGTAAAGAGTTTTATTTTAAAAATTGGAGAGGGGATAAAACCACACAGAACATAGGATTCTGAAAATAATTAATTGCAAAAATTTTCAGTCAATCTTCATACAAAAAGTTCAATTCCATACACAGCAACAGTCACTTGACATTAACTGATTTCTAACACACACACACATACACCCAAAAAAAACTTTCAACACACTTCACAAAAAAGAAAATTCAAAACTATAACTATACCATATATATATCATTCATTACAAATACGAGGGTTATTTAGAAACTAAGGTCTGAATTGCCATAGCCAATCAAATATTGCGCAAACACACTATGAAACATTCATGCATAATGACTTCTGGCATGCCTTGTTCATCAAACGACGCCATTTGCATTAGTATTGTTGCAGTGTGCTATGTTTAGTGTCATTTCAAAATGTTTAGAACAACTGATCAGCCCACCAACTATGAAAAAAGGTCAGTGATTCGGTTTTTGATAGCAAGGAACATTTTAGCAGCGGAAATTCATTGATAAATGAGCGATGTATGATGCATCGCTCATTTATCAATGCAATGAATGACAGCAAATTGTGTATGTAACCCCAATCCAATGAATGACAACAAATTGCATAAGTGGGTGAGAGCTTACAAAAACAGAAGGGAAAATGTCCATGATGAATTGGAATCAGGGCAACCAACAGTGATCACAGGAGATATGGACAATGCCTTCGATACAAAGATTTGTGAAAACTGGCAGTTCACAATTTCAACTTCAGCATTGGAATTTCCGAATGTGGGTAGGACAACTTTGCAGAAAATTGTCTCAGAAAATTTGCAATTTCACAAACTGTGCACATGTTGGGTTCCCAAGCTGCTTACTGAAGAACACCAAATGAAAAGAATGGCTTGTGCTCTTGATTTTTTGGACTGATGTCATACGGAATGTGATCAAATTTAAGGACAGTCACAGGCGACGAGACGTGTGTTTCTCACGACACCGTAGTCTAAACATCAGTCAATGGAATAGCATCATCAGTCAAAGGCAAGGCCAAGTATCTCAACACACAAGGTTCTGACAACTGTATTTTGGGATAGTATGGAGTCTTGTTATGCAGCAAGGGACAAAGATGAATGCAGCAACTTACAGCACTACCTTCACTAAACTTGGATGTATGATACAGAATAAGTGACATGCCCATCTGACATATGGAGCTTTGTTGCTGCACGACTATGCCAGACTCCATTCTGCCATTCACACCAAAATCTGAGCAGATCTTTCGGATGGGAACAGATTGGCCACCCTCCATACAGTCCAGATTTGCGCCGAATGTGCCTAAGGCAGTATCAGAGGCAAGTGCTTCACTACAGATGACATGGTGAAAGAAGCAGTTCAAGACTAGTTATCCTCACAGGAAACAGACGTCTATGACTTAAACATACAAAAGCCTAGAAAACGTTATGACAAACGCTTAAACAAATATGGAAACTATGTTCAAAATAAATAAAGTTATAAGGAATTAAATAAAAAAAAGTTTTTTTAAAACAATCTGTGATGGTTTATGTTTTATAAGAAATCAAACCTTACTTTCTGAATAACCTATGTAAATAACTGCATTTTAGTCCAAATCAATTATGATAACACAATAAACAATACTTTAAATGACATACAAATCACAAATATGATACCACTGGATAAGAAAAAACTAATGCAGTGTAAGTATTCTGCTGAATACCACTAATGGAACACTTCAAATTATTTCTCATTTATTCACAAAGAATAGTTCCAAAGAATTCTCAGTTTTTAATTTAATTTTTATTCTCACAGCAGCATTCGAACTGCATTCAGAACTGCACCAACACTGATATATACATAAGGGTATATTCAAAGAAACAACATTAAAATTTTTATATATATTCAAAGAAATATATTTAAAGAAACACTATTAAAATTTTTATATTTTGATATTTTGATAATCCATTAAAATATATAAACATTCTAAAAATTTCCTTGTTACTGAATCAATCTATCTCTTATATAAGCATGCTAATACTTTTATGATTAACAATTCAGTAAAAATAGTCTTGTATTAGCAAACATTTTTTAGTATTAGCAACTAATCATTTTTCATCTGATTAGTTTTGTCTTAGTTGACAGCAAATTAAAAAAGGTAAAGTTCAAACCGTAACTATAAAGAGAAATTAAAATGCTCAATTATAAATCAAACATTTGAAAAATACTTCATACAACTTAAAAAATGAAACTCTTTCCTCCCTCATTTCCATCAAGAAAATATATCATACTGATATACATAAAACTGGTAGGCATCTTTGCATATGATTGACAATGAATTAGAAGTTTTTCATGTCACAAAAGGGCATGAAAATATTACCATTTTTGCTAATACATGCAATGAATTCTTTTTCTTAAATACATAATTCAAGCACTGCTTTGTTACATATAATCAAATACAGCTCCAAGCAGAGATGACATATATGCAACTCCATGCTGATTTTTGGAGGCTGTCATTTAAGTTGTTCACACAAATAAACAAGGATCTGTTTAGCTTTCAATTATTAGTATGTACAATTTATATGGGATGCCAACAGTAGTGATCAGAAAGGATGCCAAAAATGCTGGAATGGCATTCTTTTGACATCATATAATGAAAAATATTCAAAAAGTTCCAATGAATATTTTTCCTTTAAAAAGTTGAAAAACAGCTACTACAACATTACAGATACTGTATGTATGCAAAATGTGACAACTGTCTTAGTCTTTTTCCTGGTTACTCTACCAGCTTCAGTTGCATTTTTATCATAACATAATTTACAATATTTCCGTACTCCAGAAGCTTTTCCCGGTTTTCTTTGGAGTTTATGTTGTTGTTTTTTAGATATTCTTGCATTTCTGTTCGAAGGAATATCACACAATTTTTCACAACTTGTAAGGGATAGCGCTAATTCTTTCCAGACTTCAGTAATGCTAATTTTCTGCTTCGTAATATCTTTGAATAGAATGTAACTATTTACAAAACAGACTTAGCACGTAATGTGTTGAATGAATGCCTATAGGAATCACGTTCCAAACGTAAACTATCTTCTACTGCGATAAGAATTGCTGGCCCTACTATACCAGCGCTTTTAAGCGGCATGCATGGCCTGAATGGGATTGCCAAAGAAATACGCTTCGTGCTCAACGTGCTAACCATAAGCAAAAGGCGTCACTGCATGAAGGCGCTGGCTAGACATTTGCAAGACGGAGCCAATTAGGCTTGGTGCGAGTCTGCCGATGGGCATATTTAATCAAAAATTATCAAATATATTATTACTTAAAAAACCTTATATGAATCTAATTATTTTAAAATACTACCAATAACCTAAAATTTAAACTGAATTGAGTACATAATGTAGTGAGTATACATCTCAAAAATCTTAGTATGAAGAAAAATCAAAAGGCTTTCAGTTCATTTCATAAATTCCATTATGACCACAACTTCATATGATAAACAAAGCAAATACAAGCCATAAGTGCAATGCCATATAATTCTAGAGAGATATTGATAAAATTAACTTATTTTTTTATATGTCTAAAACTAAATTGTTTTTGTTCTTATATATGTATGAATTTCATAAAAAAAAAAATTAAAAACACATCCTTTTTAAATAATTCCTCTAATTTATATTAAAAATTACATTTTCACACATAAGTTGTTATGGAAAAGAAAAGAAATACTTATAGGGAAATAATAAGCATTTCTTATAACAATACACTGCAGGCATTTAAATTAATTCATTTTGATTCCATCAAAAGAAAAAATATAATGTATTTAACTCTTTGTATTTCCATTAAGTTGCTTGTTCTAATTAAGATAATAATGAAAATTATGATCAGTTGGCTGAAAAAATAAATAACTTCTCACAGTTAATTCAGTATCAGTTATGCAAGAATTACTCCCTTCCCCATAAAAGAACCGCACATTAGTCACATGAAGCCTTCAGAAAACTTAAATCAGATTTAATGATAAAATGCTTCCAATTTATACATCAATTACATTTCCTTCAACTGCTGAATTTTTAAAGGAGGCTATTGAAACTTTAAAGCTCACTGCATTATTTCTAAAACTGGAAAACTGAAGCAAACACTATCCCCCCCCCCATTATTTTTCTCCTTTCCTCAATATTTTATCAAGCAAAGTCAAGATAATACATAGATCAAATATTCAATAATTATCAAATAAAAACTATAAACTTATGCATAAATTAATTACTGATTTCAAAAATACTTCATTTATCAAAAAGAACAAAACATTCTCACCTATCAGTGCTGTGTGAATTCATTCGATTATTTGGTCGACTGTTATAATACAAGGGATCTTCAATAGAATTCCTATCGATATAATCATTTCGATCTCTAGAATTTACAGAATGACCTTCATAATCAGTTTCATAACTATTTCCAGGTTCTATATACCTACAAATATAAAAATAACTTTCACAAAATAGATAATTAAATTACACAAAAACTACAAGACACTGCTAGCCATTGAGGTTGGTACATCATGAAGGAAGCACACAATAAACCAGAAATTTTCATGAAAGTGGAATATGCAAATAATATTTCCAGAGATGTACATACTGAGTAATAATATATCAAAGTATTATAAGAATGCAACTTCAAATGCAATTTCTCATCTGGATTTCACACTTACTTTTTGCTTTATGTGTTGGAGATCATGTTGTGCTTCATGTAAGAAGAAAAAACTTACACCATGACTATGGATTATTATAACCAAACAATTGTTGCTGACGTTGGTCAAGATTCAAATGTAAAAGATCTGAACAACCTTACCCAACCATGTCCATGACAAAAACCTATCTTGTTCACATCTCTATTAGGAACTGGACAGCCACATCTTGTATCCAGGTCAGAAACTGGATGTGTTGCACAACATGCATGGCAAATTCACATGTAAGACACAACTGCCTCTGAAACACTACAGAACTGTCCAAAAGGCAACCACGACTTTAGTTTCCATTGACTCCACCACAGGAATCGGCACTTATAGTAATAGTGCATTCAACGATGCATATGGATGCACCATTGGTGTGACACCTTTTCTGACAAATCCCAGTTACAATTACTTTAGTGGAATGTTACAGTCCTGTTTCCACAAACTTGTTATCTATATATCACACTGAATCTGACGTGAAAGAATACTTCAACAATTTTTTTAAGGAGACAGTATCTGAAAAATGTAGGAAATACATTCTCAAAATCTTTTTAGTAATAACTAATAAATACATACAAAGCTATTATGAATGTTAAACCAATTATGCCCATTATACTTACATGTTGCTAATCTTATGAAAATTCTTCCAATTGATAGGCCTCTATCATCTTACTTAATTCTTTGAATTTTACTTTCATTTCATAAATCACTTTCTATTCTGAAATTTGTACGAAAAAATATCTCACATATTTGAGAATTTTTCAGATGTTTACCTTTTTGAAGAATAGACTGGGTATTCTAAACAGCTATGTTAAATGCAAAATATAAGTTATTTTCAATAACTAGTTCAGTTGAAGGTACCGAATAAAGAAAAGTATTTTATAAATATGCAAAAAATGTCGCATGTCAAAAAATTTTGAAATTTCAAGTCTCAAGAAATAAATACTTGCAAATTTTTATTAACTTTTTTTTTAATGAGTGAAGCATCCCAACCCAATTCTGGTTTTTAAAAATCAATTTGTGAGGTACTGTTCTGTTATCGGAACCGGATTCAGAAATTTGTTCATGTATGCATGTAATGTATGGATGTATGTATGTGTGTATACACATACATACACACATACATATATACATGCATACATAACACATCCATCCATCCATGTATGCATATGCATACATTTCTGAATCCAGTCTAGATAGCAGAATAGTACCATTTTTGAATGCTTTTTGAGGAAAGGCTTAGTATGAATTATATTGAGAGTACAAATAAGTTTCCACCATTTGAAAAACAATGGCACTACCAGCAAGTTATGGTTAAATTGTCTGACATAAAGCACCATATCATAAGGTGGGACATCTGCTAACAAGATAACATATGATAACAGGCAGCAACAGGCAAACAAGATAACAGGCAGCCTCACCATATGAAATATTAGCAATTTTAATCAGCATCATAGATATTTTTCATGCAAAAATTTTGAGTTTTGATCTGAATAAGCGATTTTGTGGGAAGTTTTGATTTACCTCTTTAATTTGAAGAAATCTGCAGCTGAGGTGCATTCATTACTTATAGAATCATATGGTGAGGCTGCCTTAAGTGAGACAAGTTGTTAAGAAGTGTTTCAAAAGTTTAAGAACAGTGAATTTGATGTCAAAGATACAGAGCGGAGCAGAAGAATAAAAAGGTGTATGGAGACGTAGAATTGGAACACTATTGGATGAAGATTCATGTCAAACGTAAGTAGAACTTACATTAAGGGTGATTCAACAAGCAATTTCACATCATTTCAAATCATTGGGAATGATTTAAAAGAAATTGGGTTCTATATGAACTGAAGCCGAGAAGCGTTGAACACCAATTTTTCACACATGACATGTTGCTTGCCAAGCATAAACGAAAGGGGTTTTTTGTATTGTATAGCCACTGGTGATGAAAAATGGATCCACCTGTGATATCCCAAAAAAGAAGAAATAATGGGGCAACCCTCAACACTGGCAAGATTAATATTCATGGAAAAATAATCATGTTGTGTATGTGGTGGGATCAACTTGGTGGTATGTATTATGAGCTACTCAAACCAAACGAAACATTATTGGGGCTCTCTACCGAACACAACTGATGAGACTGAGATAAGCACTCAAAGAAAAATGTGTACACTACTACTCCAGACATGACATGATTATTCCCCTACATGATAATGCTCATCCACACGTCGCAGTGCCACTTATTCCCCCTTCCGCTGTATTCACCAGATATTGCTCCTTCTGATTCGATGATGCATAGCCTGTCTCAGCATTCCTTCACATCATATGAAGATACAAAAAACTGGGTTGAATTGTGGATAGCCTCAGAAGATGGAGCACTCTTCCAATACGGTATCTGTATGCTACCAGAAAGAAGGAAAAAAGTAGTGGCTAGCTATGGACAACACTTTAAATAAAACATGACACACCATTCTTTTACAATAAATGCCCAGTTTTTGATAAAGAAATGCGAAGACTTATTTGTACTCCTGATAAAGTCTTGTATAATAGCATAAACTATTAAACTCTAAAACGAAGAGAATGGGGAAAATGCACAAAATAAAGGAAGAAGTTTATGCCAGTTTTCAGTGAAATAAACCTTCTAAAATTATACTGAAATAATAAATGAAAGGGAAAAATTTCTTACTTAGCTTTCTCCCCGTCTCGCGAAGAGTACTCGGAAGCCCTGCGAGTTATCTCTGCAGCTCCACCGAATTGTGACGCCGAGCTGTTGGGATGGTGAACAGAGGCACTTGGGTGTTGAACCGTAGGGTAACTGACATCACTAGTATAATCACTATCTTCAGAGACGCCGGCTATGTTAAAGGAACAAAGTGTAACTGGTAATATCTTCTTTATATAGAAACAGAAAACACTTTTAAACAGGATTCATTTCAAAGCATCAATTATATATAAGTAAAGTACTGACCATTTATTTGATTTTTTTACACATACTGATTTTTTCCCCCCTTTGAGAACGTACAGACTCCCCGTGCACCACTTATGTACAACACGGGGCACATACTGATATTGAATAATAAATAAATCCAAACTACTAGCTAACGTTTATGATTCTTGGAACTGTGTTCTAATGAAACATTTAAAACATTTCAGAAACAAAATCACTATTGTAATTATAGAAACTCATTGTTAGGCAGCTCTGATACTATTATTCTATATCAAAGTGCATAATACAAAGCACCAGAAACAATTTTTTCCTTAGAACAGAGCAAAGCTTATAAATTAGGTATATTATAAACCACATGAAAAAGATAAATTGAAAGTTCCAAATATTAGAGATGTTATTAAAATATAAAATAACAATACAAAATATTAGTACATGTGACTTGTAAATCTCTCAAAAAGCAATGTACTGTTTTAAATGAAATGATAACAGAGTTTACATTTTGTCAAATGATAATACCTCAAGGAAGTGGTAGATTGCTAGCATAATGAATCATATTGTAAAGTATCATAATTAATTTCTTTTTTAATTTTCTTAAATTAATTTTGATTTTCAACCAGACATAATTCAGAAATGTGGCTCTGTTGAGAATTCTTTCAGCTGCTCCTTGAAAAAAGATCTTAGAGTGTCCAACTATAGTGGAACCTCGAGATACGAGCACCTTTATATAGGAGAAATTCGAGATACGAGGAAAGTATGAGCGAAAAATTCATCTCTAAATAAGAGCATTGACTCGAGTAATGAGCAATGAGCCAGGCTGTTGGCAGGCGTGGCGCTATTTTCCAATCCAGCTTGATTCAGAGGATCCCCTCATCAGATTACTTAGTGTTCTTTGATCTACGTGAATGTGTGCTAGTGAGTTAATTGTTTTTTTTTTATATATATATTTAATGTGAAAATAATTTTTTCACAATGCCTCTCAAGAAGATTGTTGCCTCAGATAGCGCTGCAAAGAAGACAAAGGAAGCAATGGCTGTTGATATTAAGAAAGAAATCATAGATATAAACATAAGCGTGGTGTAAGAGTGACAGAACTGCTGAAGCCTTACTGCCGTTCGACACTGGCGATCTGCACTATTCTGAAGAAGGAAGAAATTAAAATTGTAGCCAAAAGAGTTAACGTTACTTCCAAGCACCAACCTAAATTCCTAGAAAATGTTAAGCTATTGTTGGTGTGCATTAATGCAAAGCAGTTAAAAGGCAGTTTAGTGTCAGAAAGTATCATAAAGGTAAACTATGGTTATATTATCTACCAGTACAGTACAAAGTCCGTACTCGTCGGGACTCATCTCCGGATTAGGGGTTTTTCTGGATTATAGATTATCAGTTTAAATCTGGTTAAGATGGCATGCAGAAATTATAAAATTAAAAATATGAAACCATAATTTATGAAATAAAGAGCAATTATGATCTAAAGGGTATCAAAATTTTAAAAAAAAAGCTTAATATTTATTTGTTTACTTTATTAAACATTTCTTTCAATGTAAGTTGTTTAAGTTGCTTCATTTTTTGTGCTAATACTTTCTCTTTAATTCTATAAACAGACATAATTTCTTATTCAGTTACAAAGTTTCACTGTTGAAGTTCTGTAATTGCTGTGTCGAGAATACCGACTAACTTTTCAATTGAAATTTTTTCGTTTTCAATAACCTCTCTGTTACTTTCTTCACTGTCGGAAGTGCACACGGGTAAACGCTTTTATGTGCATGCGTAGTGGATGCGTACATTAAACGTGCATGAGTAAACGTTTTACTGGATTATTGATCATTCCAGATAATGGACGTTCGGATTACGGACTTTGTACTGTATTATTTATTCGAAAAATTTACTTTTATGGTTACTTTTGGGGGGTGTGGAACGGATTAACAGGATTTCCATTATTTTCAATGGGGAAGTTTGTTTCTAGATACGAGAAATATGCTATACGAGAACAATGCTGGAACGAATTAAACTCGTATCTCGAGGTTACTCTTTATTATTTATTTTTTTAAAATTGCATGAATACTGTTATACTGATATATATATATATATATTTTCAGTTTTGATTTTCCCTTCCTACCCTCTGGTTTTCCTCGTGAAAATTTCCCACAATGACAAGATTTTAATTATGTGTTATTATTACCTCTTGATTATTTAATTAATTTTGCAGTATTTTGTGCAACATTAACAACTAAAAATTTTCTAATTTCTAATCTGTAAAATATAAACATGTGTGCATGTGTATGTGTGTGTATATATATATCAGAATGACAACATTTACAATGCTATGTGATGATAAATGCCCTGTTCAGGAAATGTAACATAACAGGACTCGAAAAATGAAAAATTAAAGCAATACATTTCTAACATAAATAATAAAAATTTGTATTAATGAATAAAACTACAATTTACATAAGAAAATTAGCTTAGTGATTTGTTGCACTAAAACTTTCAAAACTCTCAGTTTAGATGGCAAAACGTTTAATATAAATATTTTAAAGACAACTGATTCATATTACAGTCTGTAACTTATTTTCTCCCTCCTTACCGCAAGCTTTCTGGTGTAACTAGAATCGCATCCAACTAGTAACTGGGAGTTTGAATCCTATTGGCAGCATTGCAATGGTAATTCATCCCCAGCAGAATTTGGCAAATGGGTCTCTACCTCCCTACTCATGCTTTAAATGGGACAGAATGTAAGGTATTTTCTTTCTATCTACTACACGCATTCATGGTGTACAGAGGCATAGCTAGAGGGGGGGCAAGGGGCGGGACATCTTTCCCCAGGCGCAGAATCCAAGGGGCACCAAATTGATGTTATAACATTTTAGAATTAAATGTTTTCCATCCTTGGCAAGCAGTAGGGGGTGCGAAATCTTCAGTTGTCCCTGGGTGCTGAAAACCCTAGCTACGACTCTGATGGTGTAATTGGAGCATGTCTGGGTAGCAATCAGGAAGTCTGGAGTTCAAATAGTAGGGAGGGCACTAAAAAAGCAATTTTTATTGCTTCCTGTTCCAGTGCATCTAATGCACCTATTCAACCAGGGCATTCAAGTATTCAAAAATGAACACAAAATGGTCTACAGCATCTGATGACTTTATCTATCACTACGATAGTAAAAAAACAGAACAAAATTTAATTTTGGTATTCTAACAAACCCATAAGATTTTCAAATATCTATTCAATTTTTCCCATGCTATTCTTTCATATACTATTTCAAGCAATTTGATTTTAAAATACTCTAAATATAGTATACTGTTATCTAAAAAACTCAATTTCTAATATCTCACTTACAGTTAAGTGAAAAATTATGTCTTCTATCTTGTTCCCTTAGACTTGATATCTGCAAAGAAAACCACAATATAAAACACTATTTTATTTTTATTATTAATAATGTATTTTTATTATTATTGTATTTAAGAGTTATGCTTCTTTAAGACAGACTTAAAAGCAAAACAAGGAAGTATATCTGTTTCTTAACAGGTTGCTGCTGAAACCAAATGCTTAAGTTACTATTACATTAAAAGTAATTTTAGATGCTAACATTCTGAACATAAATATCCATAATAAAGACATTTTTATTTTTTTTATTTTTGATTCTTAAGAAAACTGAGTTTTCCAGTTAAAATAAAGAAATAATCTTTTTATAAAGAAAATTATCTTAGCAATTTATCATAACAATAATTATAAAGATTTAAAAAAAGATCTTCATAAAATGTAATGGATGGTTTACTTTTTACTTCCTTGTACGAAATGCAAGTATTGTAATCGTGAAAAATTTCTGGTATCACATTTGAAAGAAAATATCCATTTTGACTGCTGCAGAATTCAATTTAACAATGTTTTTGTGTGACATCTGTACACAAGGACAGAATAAAGAACGATTTTTCCAAAAAATAAATAAATAAATAAATAAATAAAAAACTGATTTAAAATGAATTTTGAAGCGATTGTTTGTAGTGTCTGTAAGTACGTACATATATACTTTGTTGTTACTTACTTTGGTTTAATGTATCTTGCATAACTTAAAAACGAGTAGTCTCAGAACATTGAAATTTTATATACAGGACTGCTATAACATGTAAATGTCCATCTTCCATTTTGGTTGCAATCGACAGCACCAAAAGTATATAAAAATATGTATATATATATATATATGTATGTATATATATATACCCACTCTGTTACTCAGTGAGCTCAGTTCGTTTATTCTTATATGTTTATAAATTGTGCATATTTTGCTTTAAAAATGATTGAATTATTGTTCTTATCTTCCAGTTAAGATTTTTATGCCTTTAGTTAGCCTGCATGCAATTATTTTGGAATTATCAACAAGTTTATTAAATGTGGAAAAGCTTATTTTTGTTAACCATGGCTGCCATATTTGTTTACATTTGAAACTTAGCAGAATAGTGGATTCATTGCCAATCTAAAGAATTTAAGCTTTGCAACAACAAAGTAACGTCTTTTATTACTGCAAATTAAATTATGCTTAATTCATTCTGGAATTATCACTTAAGTTATTAGCTTGTTTTTGCTTAGAAACTGTACTTTTAATTCTAAAAAGAGTTTTTTTAATTGTGTTAACTGTAAACTCATTGTGTTAAAATCATTTCACTTCACAGGGAAAGAAATGAAACTTTAAATTTGTGAGTGCATGAAAAAAGTGTTAATTTAATTTCTTAATTCCAATTCCTTTAATATCCTGAAGGAAAATTAGTTTTTCATGTAACTGAACACAAATAAGCCATTGAGAATATATGATTAAATACAGTCCTGTGCAAATTATTGTAAAATTCTGAAAAACTTGTTGCCTTAAAATATATGTTGCTATGATTAAGACTGATGTATTTTACCTGAACTACATTTAATAATATTTCCAAACTAAACTAAAGACTATAATGAATTATATTTAAAGCCATATTAATACATTTCAGTATTTAATTTTAAGTCCTTCGGATTTTATTAATACTTGGTTTTTTCGAGCATTTGTTTTATAAAGACATTGCAATGCTGCTATACATCTTTGTCATAATCCTATATTATCTGGGCTCTGAATAAGTGTACCCATTTTTATTTTCTTGTATGAAGTTAAAAAAAAAAAAAAAAAAAGGGATTGTAATCGCGAAAATTTTCAGGAATCATATTTCAACGCAAATATCCATTTTTATCGCTATCGAATACAATTTAACGATTTGCATGACAGAATATTGGACTCTTTTTCCTAAAAAAATATTAAAAACTAGTTTAAATGAATTCTGAAGAGAATTTTTCGTGGCGTCTGTGCGTACGTAACGTATTTCGCATAACTCAAAAATGAGTAGCCTCAGAACGTTAAAATTTTGTATGCAGGACTGCTATAACATGTAGATATGCACCTCGTATTTTGGTTGCAATCGGCTGCACCAAACATATATGAATATATGTATATATATCCACTCTGTTACTCACCTAAGTGAGCTCAGTTTTTTTATTCTTATATGTTTGTAAATTTTGCATTTTTTGCTTTAAAAATGATTGAATTATGTTGTTCTTATCTTCCGGTTAAGGTTTTTATGCTTTGGTAAATCTGCATGCAATATTTGTAGAATTATCAACAATTTGAAAGTTGTTTAAGTGCGGCTAAGCCTAATTATTTTTGCCATGGCGGCCATGTTTGTTTACATTTGAAACTTGGCAGAATAGCGATTTGTTGCCAATCGAGAGAAACCGAGCTTCACAACAACAAAGATAACGCCTTCTTTTATTACTGCGAATTAAATCATACTTAATCTATTCCATCGAATTTATTCGAGGAAATATGTGTTTAAGATTTACTTCGTAATTTTTAATATAGATATTTTGAGTTTTTATGTATTTTAGCCTTGCAGAGAAGTGAGGACTGAATTAATTGAATGAGAAATACTGAATCATCTGTAAAAAACTGTTTCTTTCTGTTTTAAAAATTTTTTTTGGTTTGTTTAATTTCTTTATACATTGGTTTAGACTTAGTATAATATTTGAATAGAACATGTGGCAACGATTAGATAATTCTTCAGATGATATAATTTGTGTGCATTCTGAGTTATAAAATGAATGAGATGTAAAGCTGCTAAGTTAACCTAGTGCCGAAGTGTCGCTATGGTAAATAAATATAGTGAACTTTAAAGAGTGCATTTATTGTATTGTGGTTTATGTGCTATCGAAGGAGAAGATTTAATTCAAAATTCATTAAATGTTAGTTAAATATGTTTAAATGAAATGCAAGAAAATTGCATATAATTTAATACGGTCAAAACTCGTTAATCTGGACTCGTCGGGACTTCGGCAATTTCGGATTATCAATTTTTCCAGATTATAGATCATCAGTTTAAATCTGGTAAGATGGCATGCAGAAATTATAAAATTAAAAATATGAAACCATATTTGTTTAAGTATTTCATAAAAACAAATGCAGTCATATCAACATTAATAAATAAAGAAAAATATCTGAAGATCTAGATCAATGTATAACAGAAAAGATAATACTAAAACCAAACAAAGGAAATGCATTTTTAAAACATTAGGCAAAACAAATAACAGGACTGTATGGGTGAATTATGACTATAATTATATATATATATATTTTTCATTAAGCCAGACACCCTTTTATTATACAATATAACATTATTTACCATTTTATTAGAAATATATTATATAAATGGGGTTCTATGTTAAATTTTATCTAGAGTCCATGAAGATTTAATATGACACTGTAAATGAGGTTTGTGCATCAACATATAATACAGAAAACAGGTCCTTTGTATATTGTGTTACAATTTAAATACCATTTAAATAAAATAATGTGCAACAATCAAATAAAAATTTTAATTTTTTACTATGCTGAAGAAATTGAATGATTCATCTACATGAAACTGAAGAACGACACAACTTTCATTCACTCTTAAAATATTCTAAAATTACATTCATATTATGCAGAAACTCAGAAAATCAAAATTAAAAAATTAATAATTTAGTATAATATATAATATAATAGTCAATGATAATTATATTCACATATAATTAAAAATAATATAACAAATATACCAAATGATGCAGATGTCTTGCAAATTTTATAAATTGTTCCTTTAAATTGATAATGATAACGTTTTAATGATAATGTTACATAATTTACCTAGAAATATTCAGAAAAAGTACAGGATTTTATTTAGTTTAAAAAGTACTGGATTTTATATATTTTTTAGGATTTTATTAAGATTTTCTCCTAGTGCATTGTAAACACAAGTTTTTCACCCTTAGAAATTTCAATAAGATAGTTACCTTAATTTAAATAAATAACTTTTGAGTGCTTTTTTTTTTTTTTTTTTTTTTTTTTTTTTTTTTGACTGATTAATCAACTAACAATGATATTTCACTTGATGGTAGGTTTAATACTGAAAGCAACTACAGTGGAAAAAACATAATCATTGAAGAAATCTTCAACACAAAATTATATTTACAGCAAAATAAAATCTTGCAATTTAGATGTGATTATTAAGAATATAACTAAACTGGTAACTAACTATTATGAAATATTCATAATGATCATTCGTAACTGGTCGTTATTAATCTAACTAAATTAGTACTTATGCATTCATGCTGTTGCTGCATCTTGACAATTTTTACAGAAAAAAAAAAAAAAAAAAAGATTGATGACTTATAATTGCAAAAATTATTTTTTAACTCATACATATTATTATCTACTTAAGTTTTAATTAGGTATTTATCCTAAAATCAATCAATAAACCGATTTAAAAGCTTTTTTTTTTTTTTTTTTTTTTTTTTTGTGGTGATGGTGGTGTGTATGTGTACTGATGAAAATTTTAATCTTTGGCAATACTTCTAGAAACTGATCCAAAGCAGTTATTTTCTTAAGTGATTTTGTAGCAAAATACCTTATTCCAGCTGAAATTTTAACCCTCTAAGCGGCAAGGCCATATATATATATATACGGCCTAGAATATTTTTTAGTGATATCTGTAAGATCGTATATATGCGTGCATATTAAAATATGTCAAAGAAATTAAGGCAATATATCAAAAGAAAACAAATCCAGGTATGGTTTGGTTTATTTAATTATGGCAAAGCACACTAGGGCTATCTGCCTAAGGGGAGGGATGCCTTCATGGAGGGCTTTCTAAGGGAAACTGGCTCGTATACACGTTACACATGGGAAAAACCACAAAAACACCCATGCAGCCAGCCTGTTTGCGGGATTCGAACCTCGGACCTAACTACCACTGTTCAGCGACTTTACCGCTCGGCCGCTGGTGGGCTCAAATCCAGGTATGAAATACAAGGAGAGGTTTTACATTAAAATCAAAAACATAATTTGTTCTCATAGTAGTTTTAGGAAATTTGTGCTTTCTTAGCTAAAACCCTGGCTGCTCAGAGGGTTAATGCAGTTTCTTGCACTGCAAACAAATCTCACAAGTCCATATTTTCAAATTACGTTTAAGATTTGAAAAAATCATGATTTGTCTATAAAAGCCATCAGAACTTGGAATACAACAAAATGAATGCATATAAAATTGGCAATGTTACTTGTTAAAACCAATGAATTGGTTCATGCATGGTTGCCAGATTTTGGCACATTCTGAAAATTTGGTAAATTTGACTAAGGTGCTAATATGCAAGTACTACTAAATTATCTATCAAAAACTTGATTTTATAAATAATCTGATTTTTTTCCTGTACAAATAACAAATTGGTACAATCTAAATTTAACTTACAAAAATTACTTTCTAGATCACACAATATAGAAACACCAACACAAATTTCCACATATTAGAAATAATATAATGGATGAAAAACAAAACAGATTCATTTTTGAAATGATAACTAATGTTAAATAGTCAGATATGAATATTTCTATAAAACCTGCAAAAATTCATTATTCTTAGCAGATTACACACCCCATTTTTTATGATTCTAAAACTAAAACAATAAGAAATACATAATTATTTAATTTAAAATGGAATTATTTCAATTAAAATTTTTTTGCTAATTGCGAATTAAAAAACTTCTAATAATATGCATTAATAGACACTTATATCATCAAAGCAAAATTAATTTCATTAAAAAAAATTTTCTTAAACAAATACATGCAAATGAAAATGAAGAATATACCTCTTGGCCCAAAATATGGTTCAAAATATCAAGCTTTTTCATGAGCTCTGCCTCCTCAAGGTCTTCTATGTCTTGGAAAAAGAAAATCTCTTAAAATCACCATAAATCCCATTAAATGATTTTTCTTCCCATTCCAAAGGGAAATTACAAGTATGTCTCAAAGAATAAGAACAACAACATAAAGAAGCATATTACAAAATATTAAGATGAAAAACATACAATAATACATACATATGCAATGTTCAATATAGCACTATGTTGCACAATTTATACAACTTTGAATACACTTTGCATGTCGCATAAGAAATACAGAATTGCTGTTAATATAAAATAGTTAAATTTGGGGGGGGGGGAATCATTTAATTTTACACCATAAATTCCAGGAGCTATTTATTAGCCACTGCACACGCTAACTGTGAACAGCATTTAAAAATGAATGTAATGGATGAGTTTTGAATTTGAATTTATGATGTACATGAAAGTTATGTATATTATAGGTATGTGAGAATTTCAACAAATGTTGTCTTATTTATCCTTATATATGATTTTAAGGTTTGAAAACTGGACTGATATTTAAGACAAAACAGTAGGGTATACAAGAATTAAGTTATGTCTGACATTACATAAAAAAAAAAAAAAAAAAAAAAAAAAAAAAAAGAGGGTGGGAAAAAAAAAAAGAAAAGAAAGAATGATTCCTCCATACCTAGGATCTAGTAACAGGAAAGATGTATCCACTAAATTAGTTATTATTATAAAAAAAGAGACTAAAAAGTATTCTTTGGCAAATTAATAATTATTTATAGCAAACATGGACAATTATCTGTACAATAATATTAAGAACTTTCTTAATCAGATCCAGCATATGCCATAAACCATATCTAATGGAAACAGTGAAAAAGTACTTCATATGGTGCTAGTATCTTTGAAATGAAGAAAAGGAGTGTTATAAAATTATAAATGTACACAGATTACCTTCTTAATCTCAGCAATACAAACACATGAGTCATTTTAAATTTACTTTTATTTTAGAACGTCAAAAGCACATAATTCCATGCATTATATTTATGAAGCAGTTGTTACAAGTGTCTTAAAATCTTCTTACCATTGCTTAACACACCATCCTCTGTATCTACAAGAATGTATACTCAACTACAAAAACTGCATCAAATCTCATATTATACTAATTTTAGCTATGTTAAATTTGACCAGTCATAAAAAATTTTACATTGTAATTTGAAAAATGGAGATTGCATTCAAAGATACTTATAATACATGATCTGCATACAATGAAATGATTTGCTAAACATTCAATATTTAATATCTAGAGATTTTACTTGTTAAATCTATACATTTTTACATGTTCCCAATATTGAAAAATGCATATATTTACTCCTAAAGATGATCTTGGTTCCCCATACATACGAAAGAAGATTTCACTAAATTTAATAGTATTAAATCGTAACAAGCTTAAATTGCCAGACATTTTCATGTTACAATATTATTACAGAATATATGAATAGACTAATTTTTAATATTGTCCTCAAAATCATTATAGATAACACTCTTTTTATGCAGTAAATATGTTCTGCATATAATAGTATTACTTGATAGAGGGAATGGACACATAAAAAGAAATTTTACTTAAAAAAATCCACTTTAGAACTGGACTTTTCACCTGGTTATTTTAAACGGATAGCATCTAATACATAAAAAGTGTCAGCATTTAGATCAACTATAGGACCATATTAAATAAAATTAATGTGTATTCTGAAAATGATTTATGTTAATATGACTGGGTTTGAATGATAGCTGGTTTATAATTAATAACTAATGTGATGAAATAAGATGGCAAAGATGGAAATAATTTACTCAATTTATGGCATGATTATTTTTAAACATATTACAATGAGAAATATGAATAATTAAAAATGTTTGACAAAGCATTTATGTGAATTAGGACATGTATTCTACAAAAAGAATTGTGTAAAACTTCAAGGAAAATTGGTTAGGTTCCCCTCTACTTATTTTTTGAATAAGTGAGACATGAAAAAGATGACTTGAACCTTTACAGGAAAGACTGATCTGAACTTTCGTAGTGTCATCAATCAACTGAGAAAATACAAATATGCATGGGAAAAAGAAAAGTCTATTAAAAAAAAGCAAGCTGTTTATACATAGTATTTTACTTGTATTACATGAATATATGTAAGACTTTCTTACAGAAGGTGAAGAACATGCATACATTTAAATGCCCACAATATGCAAATAAATTCCTAATATGCATGCATTTCTGCCTTCATAATTGAATATTTAAAGTTTTAGTCTTCCTTAAAACATAAGTGTACAAGCCTATCATTAAATAATTAAAAAGTCTAACCATTAAAAAGCCTTCTTGAAAGGAAAAATAATAGTTGAAAAATCAGAGAACTTATTTGTTTTAAACAATCATTAAAATGTTCTGCCTCTACAGGTCAAAATTTCCCTTCATAAAATTCTATTACTTTTATGAATACTTCACAAAAGTAATGAATTTAGCAAATAAATTTTTGAAAGTAAATATATGTAATGCAGAGAATGGTAACTGTTATTCAAAATTCCCTTTGAAATTATATAAAAAGAAAATATTGGTTTTAAAATAATTACACCATCAAGAACTGGATCTAAAATGCCCTCTTCTGAAAATTAAGAAAAAAAATTTAAAAACTTTGAAATAGTTCCAGTCTAAGAAAATAATATTCAGTGTGATTAAAATATTTGAAACTGCCATTTTAAGAAATATGTGAAAAATGTAACTTTTAAAATAATTATCAAAGAAATTAAATTTTTATTGGAAAATACTGACACCATCTGTAGACCATATGTTTGGTCCTCTAAACAAAGACCAGGCAAATGTTAAATGTTTACCACAATGAACTTCCAACCAATAATTAAAGATAAAAGATCAAAACATCTGTTTAATTTCTCAAGCTGAACTTTTTTTTTTTTTTTTTTTTTTTTTTGAAGGTCAAATGATACATCTCAGTATTTTTGGAAAGCAAAACGAAAAGATTTTAAAACACTATTTTCAGATATAATTTATTATACTGTTTCATAACTTCATAAAATATTGGCATACACACTCAAAAAATGAAGCATTATATGTAATAAAATGACTGCCATTAAAGATGAGATGTTTATCTGCACTATAATTACTTGCAGAGGCTTTTATGCATAGATTGAAATGATAGACTTGCAGACCTGGCTGTAGATTCAACATAGTATTATTTCATAATAATGAAGCTTTGATAAGCATACGCATAAATATGTTTAAATATCATCATTATAGGTATGGTACACACACACAATTCTGTACAGCTTACATTTCAGATGATAGACAACAGAGGTAATAGATGCATGCTGGCAACAGCAAGGAAATAGAGAAAAAGCTTCTGGAATTTTGATTTGGGATTGGAAAAGAGCTGTCGCATTGTACCAGGATTACATAAGCTAGCATGAAACGGATTTACTTTGAAAGATGCAGTTCAAAAAGTTACTATAAACCATTTCTACTTCAAGAACATAAAGACAATGTAGCCAAATCAAAATGAGGAACTAAAAGGACTATTCCCAAATTAAAGTTACTAGTTTTCTTTCATATTTTATACTTTACGTATATAAACTTCACAAAGCAAAATCAGTCAAAAGTTAATCATTTCATATAGAACTCTCCCAACTGCAAACTTGATCAGTTTAAATTTCAATTTATGTACACACTGTAAAGGAATACTTTATATATATATATATAATTTTTGTACTTTATAACCGTTTTTAAGTAATATATCACTTAGAACTGACATATAAATTCAATGAAATAACTTTCATCAATATTTATTAATTCATTTTTTGCCAAGAAATTAATTTACTACAGTTTCTTCATAAATGGTACAGTCTTTCTGACAAGAACTCAAAAATTACAAGGAGAACTTATGCTCTACACAAATCAGAAGGAAATATTTTTGTCTACCTCCCTATATTCATTGGTTCAGCATTTAGATTTTCAAATATAAATGGTTTATCACAACCTATTTTTTTTTTTTTTTTTTTTTTTTTTTTTTTTTAAACTGCAGAAGTATAGTTAATAGACTGCAATATGGATGCTAAAAAGAACTGCAGTGTGATACAATAATATACAGTAACCAAAAAATGCTTGTTACTGTTTTGTCACCACAATATATTATTTAGACCAATTTTTTATTACTTATATAGTCCTCTAATGGCAATAATGATTTTAATTGTTCCGTCACCCTTTGAACTTACATACACAAAATTATACATTAAAGTACAATATATTTTCATTGTTTCATCATCCCTTGGTGACAAAAACACAGTACTGGATTTACGTATAAGCTGCACAAGCTTTAACTTAGAGCCCCCACTTTCTTAGGGCAACCCCCAGAAAATGTACCATATCCCATATAAAAAAAATGACTTATATCCCACATAAAGGGCCCCACATCTCAAATAGCTTAGCATCGCGTCAAATCTAAATCCGATCCAGCAAAAATACCTTTACTTTATGAATATGGCAGAGAAAGAAAGGCTACTAGAAGCATAAAACATAGCATACCTTTAAACTATTCTTATTTGCTAATTCAGAAGACAAACAACAAAAGTCAGCGTTATATTTACAAAATTTCCACAGGACTAGTTTCGATGGTTTTACCGAACCACCATCCTCAGCTGCAAAACCGCAAATGAACAAGATAGGAAAAAAACGATTAGATAAGATAAGAAAGCCTGGACAAGAATAAGCAAGTGGCACCATCTGTTGGTGAAACCAGAACTAAAGCATAATTTCTTTAAAGGCCGAAGGCAAATTTGGATTGGAATTAGGATCGTTAACTAGAACAGAAAGATTTTTATGAATGTGAAATGCCTCCAGAAAATCCAGTTCTCCAATGGAAGATGTTTTTTGAATAGCCTTAAAATTTCGTGTCAAGGAACATGAGGCATATGTTAGAAAAAAGGAAACACAGAAGTCTTCTGTTGCGCAACATTGTTGGTCCGAAAATCACACTTTCAATTTTTCTGCTGCCAAAATTATTCAAAAAACATCTTCCATTGGAGAACTGGATTTTCTAGAGGCATTTCACATTCATAAAAATCTTTCTGTTCTAGTTAACGATCCTAATTCCAATCCAAATTTGCCTTCGGCCTTTAAAGAAATTATGCTTTAGTTCTGGTTTCACCAACAGATGGCGCCACTTGCTTATTCTTGTCCAGGCTTTCTTATCTTATCTAATCATTTTTTTTCCTATCTTGTTCATTTGCGGTTTTGCAGCTGAGGATGGTGGTTCGGTAAAACCATCGAAACTAGTCCTGTGGAAATTTTGTAAATATAACGCTGATTTTTGTTGTTTGTCTTCTGAATTAGTATTTATTCGGCGTGTTATTGGGTCTTAATTATTCTTATTTGGTTTAATATTGGCTATGTTTTATTAATCATGATTTATCAACTAAACTTCACCTAAATTACGTATCCTGTATTTGTATTATATTATGCATACAGTTTTATCTATAATCTTAAGCTTTACATATCAACCAAATTGAAACCATTCTGAATTTTTTCAATTAATTTCCATGACAATATTCACTTTATAAATAATTCCAGTTTCAAATATATTTACAATTTCTGAAATAATAAATACATTTCATATGAATTTATAAATATTTAAAGAATAAAGAACTACAAAACACTTCTTTTCATGATAACTATTTTGAAAAAACATAACTTTTTATGTTTAAGATGTTAGTAAACAACTTGTGCAGCTTGCTTTGACAAAAAATCTTAATTATTTAATTGGAACAAATATAAATTACACACCACATGGAAGTTCAAAATGAGCCTCGAGAAGAAGGCTATGTCCAGTAGGCACTTTGGTTCCAACCACTTCACCTTCTTCCATGACCAATTCTTGATCAAGCGAAAGCCACTGACCCTCCCCACACTTAAAAATAAAAAAAAATAATAATAATAATAATGTCAATTCATTAATATGCATTTATTTATTTACATGAATAATACTTGAAACAGTGTTTGATTACAAGTGAATAAAATTACATTATTACTGAGAAACTGTTCATTATTAGGATATAGGATATATATTTTAACAGATAAATTGTTCATTATTGGTATATATATTTTAATAGATTATATTATTTAAATAATTTAGTTCTTATTCCATAAATCTAGCATCAATCTATCAGTGAAACGTTTATGCATAACCTGTATAATTACATCTTACATACATATCGGTTTAATTATACTATTTCCAAACATGTTTCCAGAGTTATAATTGATTACTCATAGAAATGAAAACAGTTTCATTTTAAGATACTTTGAATATTTCCGATAAAAATCATTAAAGAATCAAGATAAAATCAGATATTTTCCTAATAGACAAAAAAGTTATTAGGTAAAACATGATACTCAGATTTCTGGGATACCATATCAGTTTAAAGACGTCAATACCTTTGATTAGGGAGAAAGAACTGACACAAACTCTAACTACATTTCTTTGTTACTATGATAACAATATGCATAACATCATCCAAAAGTTTGGAAACTGTGCTCACAACTGTAACTTGTGATAACACATACTTACTAAAATAAATCCTGCCATTTTTGTCTCTATTCACCATCCTTTTGCCTCAGAATGTGGCAAACAGACAATAGTATCTTTTTTCATGACAACATGCCAGCATGTTAATGGTTAATGATCATAAAGTTCTTAGCAGAAATTATGTTAAAGTGCATCTACACCCCATATGTTCATCTGATTTAGCCTCCTTCAATTTCTACCTCTTTAGACTGATAAAAACATAATTTGCCAGATTATGACACATGTATGGAGAAGAATGATAAACACATGAATGGAGAAAATATTAGCATTTTGTGAAAGATACAGCACAACATTGCTTCTAGAAACTACATGACCACTAACAAAAGCATATTACTGCAGTATGGAATTATTTTGAAGGTAGCTAAAGCATTATTATGTTAAGCTAATCAGTAAAAAATTATACGTCAGGGCCCCAACTATTGCAGCACTTCTTTAATAGTGTAAAGCATAAAGTGACAGGGCTGATATATAACTTCTAACAGATGGAGCAAAATGAAAGGATCCTGATTCTAATGCCTGAATATAAGAGATAAAGATTATTCATTTCTCAAAAGTAAAATAATAAACATTCATTCAACCTTTTTTTAAAAAAATTAAACTCTTTTAAAGTATTACTTTGAGCACAAATATCGGGTCATCCAAAAGGTTTTGCAGTTTTTATGATAAACATAAATGAAGCAGTACAGAAACATAAGAAAATTTTTGAATCACATGAGCACCATTTTGTTCAATAACTTTCAAGCCACCTCTCCAGCAGCTGTAAAATTCTTTTTTCAAAATAGTTATTATGTTCATTCATCAAAACATTATCGAAGTGCTGTTTGACAGTCTTCAAAGAAAAGAACACTAGGCCATTCAGAGAATTTTGAAATAACCTGAATAGATTTTTAATATTGAACTTGACAACAAAATAATTTTGCTGGAATAGCAGAGCTTACTCAGACACCAATCAGACTATTCTTGTAATTCTGCTCCCTATACACAAAATGTGCATAAGAAATGTTAGAAAAGAAGAGCGATTATGACAATCCAAAGAATGAGTAATAAGTTATAACATCTGATGATTTATCTGAAAAAATAATCATATATTAAGAAGAAAAAAGTGGTACTTTTCCATTTTGCCAGGGCAAATCTTGCCAAGCAGACTTTGTTGGTGATAGCATACAGTATACACATAAAAAATGTTAACAAATGTTAGTTCTAAGAAATTTTTATTTTGAAGGCATAAACATTTTAATATGGTTTAAAATTTTGTAAAAAGACAATAATTTGTAAAAAGACATTAATTTAAGAATTTACTATGCTTTCATGATTCAACATAATGATTCGCCAATTCTTATCATGTGACCCCAAGTGATTTCATCTCACATAAACTACACTACAAAAATCTAATTCTCTCAATAATTATCTACGTTATTTTCAAGTTAAATCTTAATTTAGAATACTAGTTTAAATGCAAGAATTATTTCAATTCGTACGAATAGCTTACTCAGAAATTATGTAAAAACACAGTGCTTTACTTCTCTAGTGCATTCTCATTAGAATTAATGAATTTAACCCTTGACTTTGCCTTTTCTATATTTTCACCTTCCGGTGAGCAGTGCGATTGTATCCTAATTGACTTAATTACCTTGAATGATCTTAGGGCATAAAATTTAACTATCTTGTAAAAATTCTATGTAATTGTATGCTAGTATATTGAAAGAAACAATCACTCTGATAAGAAATGGCTACGACTTGTTTTGAAAATGAAGCATAAAAGGTTATCAGCGAAGATATTCTGTTTGGCATCAGTTGTACCATTACTGGCGACTTTATTGTTTGTGCCGGCAATACGGAAAAGTAACAAAATGGTATGCTATTTTAACCTGTGAGGCTTCAAATATAGAATATGATGTGCAGTGATAATTTTGTTAAAATGCAGTTAACATTGAACACTTTCTACAAGACAAGATTCCAAAATATGAAAAAGAACTGCCATGTGAGACAGATCACTGTTCAAATATTACAGCAGATTCTTCCATGAGAAGAAGGGAGAAAGAAGATAACAGATTTTAAAGGAGAGGAAATTAGTTTTGTTTATCATTAACAGAAATCAGCTATATTTTATGAAGACATTTTTATGCACAACTTTGCATACTATAGATTAGCAGGTGATTCAAAAATACTATAGATTAGCAGGTGATTCAAAAATTTGAATCACAAGGAAATATAATCTCACAGATCAAATATTTTAAGATATAAAATTTGCTTTAAAAAAAGTACCACATATTATTTTCAGGTTTCTCTCAGACTTCTGAGAATATAGAATGCTTTAAATAATCTTTCCATAAACGTAAGTTGGAAATTCGGCCAAATTTAACTTCACATTGAAAATAGTTTTATAGAAAAACTTTATATTTCCAGATAGAATAACATGACCCCTTTTCTTCAAGAAGAAAAGCATTCCTTGCTGAAAACCAAAAATATATCATTTAAATACATAAATAAATTATAAAAAAAAAAGAAAGAATAACTGTAACATTTAAACATTTCACAGCTGAGTTTTTGTCCGTTGATGCCTTGCATGTATACATCTGTTTGGAACACAAAAAAAAAAAAAAAAAAAAAAAAGTGAACATAAATTTATCAGACAATTTGACATCATTTCATTGCTCTATTGTCCACTTAATTTTTGTACCATATTATGTAATCTCTCCACCCATCACATCTTTGCATTCTTACAGTGTGATAACTGTTATTCTGTTCAATTAAATTTGTTTCAAATGGTTTCTCATGAATGTTGAAAATTTCACAAAATTATTCAACAGCAGTGTGTTTTCATTTTTTGGAGGGACGGGGTGCATTGCAGTAATGTTTGCATATCATTATCTGGTCTACTACTGCCTTTCACCAATGATGATATTCCTGTACTTAGTGTTAGCATAATTTTAAAGACAATTCCTCAATTAATATATATAATTTCAACTCTTCTGATTAGTAATGCACCTGATACTCCTGTAATTGCAATGATACAACAATCAAAATCACTATGGTCCTCTGTTAATTCTATTGAATAGCAGTGACATGCTTAAATGATGATAGACTTCTGTTTATCTTTACATACATATCATGAGGAATGTTTCAAGCTCATCTGCAGAATTAATGCATGTAAGATTGGTGTAATGCTGATACTGCATTGTGAATGCTAATATCTTAAGTGTTTCCAATTTTTTTGGAGGGGGGGGGGAAGCTAAATTAAGATTAATGTCAGATTCTCTAAAGCATGCAGCCGAGCATGCAGAAAAAAGAAATTCATGTATGCTGCCTGTCTCCCACGGGTCACAGGTTGAAAAGTTTGAGCTGTTATGAGGTGTGAATCATTTCAGTTATAATGCAAGAGGATGTAAAATATAATCGAAAAGTTAAGAAGACCTAATTCAGTCTACAAACTGTGTTAGACAAGGCAAGAACTCAATGCTCTTAAACTCTCGATTAGAGACACTCTTGCTGCTCACAAGATCGTCAAACAATGAGAACAATAACCTACAATTTTTATCTTACCTATGCATTCAATATAAATCATTAATTGTCATTATTGTATTAATAATAATCTCATATATTTATAATAAATTTGTTTTTGGTTCTACATGTAACCTAAACAAATTGCAAACCAGTCAGTTACCAATCTTTACATGGAGTCAACCCAAGCTCGTGGGTCAAAACAATTGCAAAAAGTCTTGGAATGTTAACAATGCTGGGAGAGGGTGGGAAAGTTTTAGTTATTTCATTAATTGATTTCAAAGAACAGACACACCAGACCAAGAACCTCCATCCCAGGTCCTCATTACATGGAACCCATTCAGAGTTTGGGTATCAAATGTCCGTGGGACTTCGAAAGCTAATTTCACAAGCCAGAATAATTTTTCAAAAGTTTATTATTTATCTTACCTCATTTGTGTATTTTATTCTGGTCAGTGGCAACCACTGCGTACCAAGAAGTTTATCCCAAAACATTCCTTTGTTCCATACTTCGATGATAAGTCCAATATCCATTCTGTTGGTTTCACTAAGCAAAAACAAATGAAAACAATTATAAAGTAAACTGTTTGCTATAATTCACATTTATATTAAAAAGTAAGATAAAATTAGGGATCTAATACCCAACTTCATACAGATATACCATCTTTTCTGCAATAACAATATACTTGGCAATAACATGAGCATAAAAATATAGCAGTGCTTCCTGTTCATAGCAACATTCAAAGCAAAATGTAAAATACACAGTTTAATAACAATTTTTTTAGTTGTATATTGATTTGTCTCATTTTCAAGGCATATCATTGCATTTTATTCTTACTACATCCAGTATTTGATCGTCTAAAAGGGCTAAAACCTGATGCAGACTTTAATTATTATCTCCAAGTGCACATATTTGTATCTGGAGCACCTGCCTGCTACTACTTTGATCACCCAATTCTTTCATGACAAATGCAGTGTCATCTTTAAAGTTACAATTTATACACTTCTTACAGTTTGACTTTATAACCAATACTATATTTATAAATCATCAACAAATATTCAAATTTTTACTCTCTGTTATCAAAATGATGAAACAATTTCAATGGGTGAAGCTATCAAATTGATAAAGCAATTTCATGACATAACATTTCTTGAAAAAATTCTTCTTAAATACATGTTGCATGAAATATAAAGAAAATGACATAAAGCATTTTTCTAAACAGTCAATGTTACGGGCACAGTAATAGTATTTAATATTACACAAACACACAAATATATATGCATTTTAATAATGAAGAAAACTGAAATCAATAAATAGTAATTCATTAGCAACTTTGTGAGTTAGCAAAAGACATTTGCTCAGATATCTTTACAGCTCAGAGGTACAATTCTGTTCATAAACATTAATAAAAAAGAAGTATTTTATTAGAATTAAGAAATAAGAAATTTTTGTGGGGAAAAGTCTGCTTTGAGGCTCGACATTAGATTACTAAACACATGGATAGTACGCACATGTTGGGGTTGGCTCTTGTTGCATATATATTCAAAAATGTGCAAATGTAGAAATTCTACCAAATGTTGAAATGGGAATGCGAAAAATAAGAAAATACCAAAAGCTAATTTGTACTACATTTTAATTTAAATTTGGTTTTATAACATACAATATATTAGAAAAAAAAAACATTAAAAGAGTATAAAAGTATTCTACAGCGGCAATAATACTAGATTTTGAACAGAAATATGAAGTCTGATAGACGAGATCATGATGGAATAATCAAATATATATCATTCATTCAGTTGTACTCCATAGTTACCTAGACTATAGCACAATCAGCATACTTCATAATTATATAGAGTGAGCATAATCAAGCAACATAAGCACAGAAACAAGTACACTAGTTGTTTAAAAACTTCAGAGAGAGGTTTCAATTTAGAAGCAGTAAAACTAAAGTTAGCGTAAGTAAACTAGCTGCAATAAACAGGCCTGTTGCAGAATATTAAACTTTTTTATACTTTTGTGGTAAAGAGGAAAGTAGCACAGCGGCATCTAGCTAGTAAGGAAAGCAGAACAAAATAGTGTTACATTCCAAGATGGAAGTTCAGTTCAAAAGGAAAAGTTGTGGTTTGCAATTTCAGTTCCGAATTAGCTGTATCATCAGTGATAGCTACAGGATGGTAAATGGAAATATCCAAATTAAAATAGTGAACTAAGAAACTATTGTAAATTATAGTTAGTATTTTCCGGGTATAATTTTTTCTTACATGTATGTATAATCTATACAGAATGCAGAACTCTTTCTAGCAGACCAGAAACAGGTGATAGAAAAACAAAGATTATATAACTGGTACTAGATTAAGATTTGTTTTTACTTTTATTTTTTTTTTTAAAGTAGAGAGACAAATAATTGCTCATTATTATTGGACTAATAAAAGTTTTGATTTAATTACAAATGAATAATAAATTTTACTTTCCCTTTTACTATTATGAAAGCACATGCATGATAACATTATACAGTACAAAGTCTGCAATCCAGACTCGCCGGGACTTCGGCGATTCCAGATTAAGGGTTTTTCCGGATTATAGATCATCAATTTAAATCTGGTAAGATGGCATGCAGAAATTACACAATTAAAAATATGAAACCGTAATTTATGAAATAAAGAGCAATTATGATCTAAAGGGTATCAAAATTTACCAAAAAAAGTTTAATATTTATTTGTTTATTTAATTAAACATTTCTTTCAATGTAAGTTGTTTAAGTTGCTTTGTTTTTTGTGCTAAACGCATCACATGCATGCGTAAAGCATACAAAAAAAACTTTGTGGCTTTGGGGTCCACATTATAGATCATTCCGATAATGGATGTCCGGATTAAAGACTTTGTACAATCATATGACTATTTGAATTTACAGATGGTGCACTTCAGAAAGATTTATCATAAGCATTTTCTTATTTTTAGAAACCAGAAATAAAAACAATTATAAAGGAAACTTTAGGGATTACTACAAATAAAAATTAGAACTCTATTTTACGTATCTTATACATACTATAGCTGCCAACCCTGAAATATGAAAAACCGGGAGGTTTTTTACATTGTGCACTGGTACTGTTTTAAAAGAACTATGATTAAAATTGATTTAAACTTGCTTTATAACACATGATCAGTTTATTCAACTATTTATAATATGATTCTGATGTAAAACATATTAATATTTCATCGCATATTCCAAATTTTATGTCCTCTGGCTGATTTCACTTTGTAATTTTTTAAGAAAATTGAGTAGGGAAGGAAAGCTTTAATTTATCAAAATGCTTTTAAATAACAATAAAAAAAAAATTATTTGAACTGCATATTTTTCCTATTTCGTGTTCTGAAATGGGTCTAATGACTTCAGGTATTGATGTAAAATAAAAATAAAACAAATATTTACTGATTTAACAATTGGTTGAATCTTCATATTAAGTTTCACAGATGTCAATGATATGATGAAGGCAATTCAGATCAAATAAACTGAGCAAGAAAAAATATACTATACAACATTAGGGATGAATGAATGAAATTTGCCCAATTTAAATTTCATTAATTGAATAATGATGTAAATTTCATTTGCACAATTTAATTTTATTGCTGGAAAAACACTTTTACTGGTAAAGGCTAAAAATTAAAAACCCAGGGATTCAGTGTTCTACCAGACCAGGAGATATCTCAAACAGGGGACAGCTGGCAGCTATGATATATCTATCCACTCATAAACTGCATCATTTTAGGCACTTAAATATGACTGATTACACTTTTTTAGTATAAGTCTTTCAGAATTAAATAAATGAAAACTAGCAGAAAAATAAACCTGAAAAGCTCTTGAATACAGCACTAATAAAATTTAATGGCATGCTGAATATATGTCACCTTAAACCTATTTTCAAATGCAAATCTCTACGCACAATAATTATTTCCAATTACAAAATTGTAAAATGTTCCTATTACACATTAATGAGAGGTGAGGCCCACCAGCCAGCGGTAAGATTGCTGAACAGCCATAATTCAACCAGAGTTCAAATTCCAGCAAATAGACTAGCTGTAAGGGAGTTTTCGTGGGTTTTGTTAAGTGTAACATAAACATGAACTACTTTATCTTAAAAAGACTCCAGAAAGCATTCCTTTCCATAGGCAAATTTCCTTTAAGTTGGCCTTAATCAATAACATAACATTTAACCTTTAACTGCTGTGACAATTTTTTTCAAACTACTGTGAGTGGTCTCGCAGACCGCTTTAAAGAAATGCATAAAAATACATACTTTTATGCCTTTTTAAGCAATGTTATAGATATTTTATGAATATTTATGGAATTCTAATTAATTTAAATTAATATATTTTAAACATAAATCATTTGATTTCATGCAGTTAAATTCATAAAAAAATATGACTATTTTTTTCATTTTATGAAACAAAGTTTTTAAAGAACAAAGATTTTATTAAACATGCATCAAAATATGTGACTTAACAATAATTCTACAACAGTGAATTTAATTATTAATATAATAGATTAGTATATCTTAGTTTACAGGGATGAATCATAACATGATATACAGTCAAAACACATTTTTTAAGAGCACTAAAGACACATTGGTTCCTTGCATTCCAAGCATTTGTATGCTGTTTTTTTCTTACAAGGTGGGCACAGACTACATGTTTTTCTTTCTTCTAATTTTTCTTCTTGAATTGATAAATCCATTCTTTTAATTTCCTTCTGTCCAAGGATTTTTCTAATTGTTATCTTCAGTTCCCTTGGTAAAAAAAAAGTGGAAGTTAACCCAACGTTCAGACGCGGTTTAATAAATTCATTACCTAATGAAAGCATAAAATGTTTTTCTTTTCAGTTTTGTAGCATCAGGATATGACTGGAGCAATATGCATGAACATAAATTCCAAATATCCTCAGGCTCTACTCTAAAGCCTATTTTTGCAGGATGTTTCAGACCAGGGAGCTGAACTATTACGTTAGGTTTTGGTGTTCGTACCACCCGACTTGGTTCTTTTTTGATCCATTTGAAGTCCTTTTTTCCATAAAAATTATCATTTTGTTCACAGTCATTAGAAAAATTATGATATTCATCTGCAGAAACTTTTGCTTTCACTGTGAGTACTACATGTTTCTTCACAATCAGAGTATTCTACGTCAAAAATATTGTTGACAAGATATTCAATTTCTTTTTGAGTCAGATATATGGGACGTTTTCTTCTAAAATTTGAAGCCATATTTATCACTTTTACGAAAAACAAGCATCCGATAAATAATGTCTATCATCCACTAAAACTGCTACGCATCTGCTGTGAGTGGTCTCCCAGACATCTTAAAAAGTAAAACACGTGATAACTGAAACCATAATAAAGCTAGAAGTGTGAAACTGGATATGTGACCTTGTGGGACGGGTTTGGGAATGTAGGAGGAAAGACAGGGACCATTTTCCATTTTTAGGAGTGGAAACGACGGTTAGAAAATCCTCAAAACCTTATTAATGAACCCACAATCTTAAAAATCTGACAGACATAGCTATGATATAGCATAAAAATTTTAATTAGCTGCAAACGAGATATCTGGATAAATAAATATTTTTAGGATGCATTATAGCATAAATTTTTCTTTCCTTTACATATATTTTTACACAGAAAATGTGCATGTGAAAATGAAAGTAAAATGCATATAATGTTATGAAATAAACAGAAATATTTTATTTCACAAATATAAAAATTCAATTCAAATACACTTACAATATGAAATCTTGTTCCCAGCTAGGGTTATTACCCTTTACTGAAATCGTTGAAGATTTCACACTTTGCAATTTTAATGTAACATAAACATTAAATTGATCTACAAAGAAAAGAAAAGAAAATCAAGTCACACAGAACAGAATTAAAACAGAAAAATATAATGAAATACATATATTAAATAATAAAGATAAAGAAATTGTTATTAAAAATTATCTATAAAAAAGTAGAAAACAATTCAATTTAATTTATCAGATTCATAAACATTAATTTGAATTCCTTTTTATGCTTGTTTGTTAAAAATCAAAAGCAGGCCATTTATTCTTCCACAGTATTGTAATGGCCAAACAAGATAAATAAAGTATGCAGTTTTCAATACATCTAATAGCAAACCATGAAGCCATTCCAATAGTAGACAATGATAAACGAATATTGTCTGAAATACAGCAATTTATATTATTTGTCATAACACAGCATTTATTGTCTGATTTATCGAATTCATATAAGTCACAAAGTTGTGACTTATGTTGTGTGTGCACAGCACAAAGTTAAATTTGAATTTTCTATACATCAATAATTATTGCAATCATTAAGATGTTGAATGTACATATCCAAAAATCACAGGTAACAGAGGTTGTTTTGTAACATGGAATGCCAATATTGCTGCATCTGAGCAATTAAACTGAAACCGCATATTGTTGGCTGCAGATGCACATTAGTTGATATCTAATAATTTCTCAATCATGCTTGATGAATAAAAAATCAGATGATCTCAGGGGCCATACAGAAGGTTAATACATTCAAGCACATTTAGCAGCTACAGTATGGGACTAGGCATAGTCTTATAAAATAAACCAGTACTTCTTCATTTTAGCGACTCCCAAAATTATATCGTCAAATAACAGAGATATCTTGCCAAAATTTGGCTACGGGTTTTTATAGTTTACTACATAATCATATATTAGCACAGGCTGTGTGTTCTTTTACCTGACCACACTGCCATATATTAGCAACATGCTGCATTTTTTCTCTTGCCACATGTTCTTATATTATTTATTTTTGATGAGGTTTTTGAATTTGCATTGTTTATTTCAAAATATATTCATAGCACTTTTTTATTTATTTATTTATTTATTTATTTATTTATTTTTTTTTGGTTGTGTGTGTGGTGTGTGTGTGTGAATATGGTGTAAACAATCTTAAATTTACCAAGTAACATTTTTTTCCAAAAAAAAAAGAGATCTTTTACCAGACAAATGAGTATCTGAAAATGGTCACAACATGAAACTTGATGTTAATAATGAAACCATTTGGAGGTGTAATGTTAAAAATTGCAAAAGGAAGAAATGCCTACACATTGGAAATTGGTTCAGCAATTCCAGAATATTGTTTATCACTGCTATTAGATTTATGTATTCTTGAGCAGAGGAGTTGATGTTCATGAAATGATGTAATAAACAGCTTAATATGTATAAAAGTGCTGCAGGTACTTTTCCATTTTGCCACCGCAGGCAATAAAGTCACCAATAATGGTACAACTGAGGCCAAACGGAATATCCTTGCTGGTAATCTTTTATGCCTTATTTTCAAAACAAGTCACAGCCATTTCTTATCAGATTGATTGTTTCTTTCAATACTAGCATACAATTAATTACATGGAATGTTTACAAGATAGTTCAATTTTATGCCCTAAGGCCATTTGAGTAATTATGTCAATTAGGATGCAATCACACTGCTCACCCGAAGGTGGAAATATAGAAAAAGCAAAATCAAGGGTTAAATTCATCAATTCTAATGAGAATACACTAGCAAGCAGTAAAGTAAGTATAAGAAGTAAAGCACTGCAGTTTTACATAATTTTTGAGTAAGCTATTTGTATGAATTGAAATAATTCGTGCATTTAAACTTGTATTTCAAATTAAGATTTAACTTTAAATTAATGTAGACAATTGCTGAGAGAATTAGATTTTTGTAGCGTAGTTTACGTGACATGAGATCACTTGGGGTCATGTGATACGAACCAGCGAATCAGGATGTTGAACCATGAAAGCATAGTAAATTCTTAAATTAATGTCTTTTTACAAATTTATTGTCTTTATTTATTGGCTTTTTATAAAATTTTAAACAATATTAAAATATTTATGCCTTTAAAAAAGTTCTTAGAACTAGCATTTGTTAACACTTTTTATGCCTATACTGTATGTTGTCGCCAATCAAGTCTGCTTGGTGAGATTTGCGCCGCCGAAACGGGAAAAGTACCATGCAGCAGATGTCTGGAACAGTTACCTGTGATAATAAGGATAAGGAGTCTTAAAAATATTTTTAGGAAACAACATGTGAATATTACTGTAATTATTATATACTGTGCTGTTTATTTTTATATTTGCTTTTCATGAGTTTGGCAAAATTATAGTTGGGATCTTGGCACAAATCTAAAATTGCCAAATATGGTTATGGGCTCCTATAACAAAGAAGTACCAGTAATCCTCTCTGAATATGCTTTGAGAATGATCGCATCATTCTATAAAGGTTCCATCATCATTCTATAAAGGCTTACTGTCATATTATTTGGAATAATAATCTCATAGTTATCATACAAAATTCTTCATATCATAACATCAGTAGCAGTGCCAATATGTCAATAACAGACACAATGTAGCAGTAGGTATTCATCAATATATATTTTTCTGGCCCATATACATTCATCACAGATATTAGAGATAACTGTTTTGTCATCTAATTAATTTTTACTTGACACCTCTGAAGACACGTGCACTAATGATTTGGGGTTAATGGCACACAGTTCATAAAATACTTGCAGTGAATATTACTTTTCAGTAAAAAATTCAACACTGCTCCTGTGGTAACATAGAATCTCACCGAAGCTTGTATTTTTGCCATAGACTCAATCTGATTTGCAACAACCATCTTATGATTCCACTGATCTACCCTCTCTGAACAAAGTCCATTTGGATCCCAGACTCTTTATAGCACATTACCTGAAATAGGGCACTGCTACCAAGAATTCTAACCATCACACAACTGAGACATCTCTCTCTCTCTCTTCAGTTTTGCCAAAATCTCCAAAATAACAAAAAGGAAACCTGAATTAACATATTCATCGAGATGGTACTAGTCCACTGATTTGTTATAACTTCATAATTTATCTAGACCTCATTTTTTCAATCTTGCAAAAATATGGCATTTTAAACTTTTTATCTAGTTTTACTTCTTAATTTCATTTTCCATCAAAGTATTCTGTAGCATCATGTTTAAAACTACTTGAAAAAATAATAAACACAATAGATTATGCACTGATATTTCTAAATGTATTTTCCTTAAGACTCAGATAATTTACATTAGTACTCATTCAATGTTTAAGTACTTACTTGGAGGGCCAACCAAAGCAGCTCTTCTCACTAGAAATTAAAAAGGGGAGAAAAAAAGAATTAAAAACAGACTAAAAACATATTTCTAAAATATTAGAGAAACTGTACAATAATAACAATAATACATATGTAAAATAAGTTTAAAAATCACTTTTATGACAAATATGATCACTGCATAAATTTATAGGCCACATTAATGAAAACAATAACGGCCACTACAAGTAGAAGACATAACTAGATTTTTTTGGTAATCTAATTTAGTCTCATCATGCCTGAAAGTCAATCTCTTTCTTCTGTACACAGTAATATCCCATTTTACCAATTCATTACGTAACCAGGTAATCTATTAATAAACTGGTAGGTATATTACCTTTAGCCAGCAGCCTGTTAGTAATATCAGCATTATGCATTCAAAACACAGTATATAGATAATAATTATTTATTCAAACTATCTTTCAGACCTTCCCCGAAAGCTATTCAAGATCAATTTACATTTTTAAATATAAATCAAAACAAAAGATTTACATAAAAGATCAATTTACATTTTAAAATAAACTGCCCTGCTTATTTCAAAGATTAAATGCTAGAAATAATTAGTTAGTTCAATATCCCTAATATTTGAATATTTATGCTATGAATATTTTACATCAGTAAATGCTTATGCCGTGACAAGTTAACCTTTGCAGTTTTAAAGTTACGCAAAAAAAGCAATTACACAACATTGGCGTACATAGTAAATAAGACTCTATCAATGTTAATGGCAATAAAATGCTTATTTCTTTTCTTCGAAAGCAAAAGAATTTCCACAAAAATGGGAACACTGTTTCATTTTATACTGAATGCAATGGGCACAGCAAAGTGATATGTAGCTCCTCTCATTTTTGCAGACCCCACCCACTTTTTTAGGGGGAGTTGTTGTTGTTGTTGTTTCTGAAGAAGATGGACCTGTGTCTGATTCCTTTGAAATAAATATAGTTTTATTCAAAATCCATGAAAAGCTAGGGTCACCTTTTTTGCCCAGCTTTAAAAGTTTACAATACTGTGTTTACCTCCAAGAAAAAGTTATACATACCACCTTATGTTGTAAGGGAAGTATTCCCAGGAACCTGCCTGCATGACTTCGTCACTTAAGAAAAATTATAGTTTTTTTTGTCAATTTACTAAATTTTGTGATGATTTAAATTATACAAAAATGTAATGCAGTATAATAAACATTTTTAATGAACAATAAAATTAAATTAGATAAAAGTCTAGGATACATTAAACAAACTCAAACTCAGTAGCACAAACAGCCCTAATGGGCCAAGGCCTGCAGTGTCCTGAAATCTGCTTTCTTGAGCGTGGGCCCCGGGGTGCCTAAGCATATGCCCTGAACAAATGGTCAGCTTGTCGCAGGAGACCCCCCCCCCCCCCCCCCAGTGTTTAGTCCCAAAGCAAACTTGGTACTCATTTTATCGACCCAAGGAATGAAATGCTGAGTCGACCTTGCCCAGCCTGGGGTTCAAACCCCGGACCTGTGGTGCTGCTACGCTATGCGCTAGCCACTGCGCCACTGGGCATGCAGGATACATTAATTGACCTAAAATTTTCAACAAATAAGAAGTCATATTATTAGAATTATTACAATATTAATAGAAAGTCAGTTACATATCGCCATGTAGAGCTTCAAGTTTTCCTTTATGAGTCATTGCTGATGCTACATACCAGCGAGATAGTATGCATAAAAAATTTTAAAAATATAACAAGTTAAAAAGAAACTGAAAGCTTTCAAATTTTATATAAGATGTTTTTGAATGTTTTGTGTATTACTTTTATTTATTAAATATCATGCTCTTCGCATAAAATTCAATTTAACAGCAATATCACAAAAATACTTTATAAAATATGGAATAAATAATTAAATAAATTCCAAATTTGGGCTTCCAGATGCCCATATTTGGATGGAGACGCACGTTATTCAAAATTTGATGGCTCTAGGTGCTGTTGTTTTATTACAATGCGAGAAAACATACATACAATGCAGTGTCTTCATTATTTAATTTCTTTAAATATAATACAGAGTTCTAATATTTGGTGGCAACAATTTAAAAAGTGATTCGCCGTTTATAGCGAATCAATGCAAAATGCCAAAACAAAATTAATAGCCCTTCTAGGCAAATTGCCCACTTTGGGCTAAAAATGTTAATAGCTTATGCATATTTATATATAAAAAAAATAATGTCTTTAATACAGCAAAAATTTTAAAAAAATAATAATAAAAACAAGATTACGACTTTAGTTTTAAAGTGTACATAAGTAACAATTTTATCATATTTTTTGTAATTAGAACAGAAATCAGTAGCATTTTCAGGCACAATAAAAACTTGTTTAATGACAAAAGGTAACAAATTGCATGTCATATCTTGTTTCATATTACTATCGTTATAAACTATAGTAATATAAAAAAGAATAACACTTATAAAGTGTTATTATTAATGTAAACAACAATAATATTGAAAATTTCCCACTGCAAGGAGAAATAAATAAAATCTACTCATCTTTCATACTGCAGCCTATAAATTAATAGCAATATCATATAGATTTCTCATTGTAAACTTACCTTTTTGCTTATATCATCCTTATAAATATATTTAGTAAAGAAGACTGTTTATGGTCAAAGAAATAGTCATTCAAATTGCTCACTTTCACTTCAATTCCAAGAGGACGGAAGTTTTCAAAACATTATCTAATTATTATTAGAGATGGTAAGTCAACAAGAATCAGTTATAATTTTCATAAATTTTTCTCTAGTTCTTTGCCACACATGTAAAATATGCTTTAAATTCCAGATTCAATATATTTTGCAAATTCATTATCAATACCAGGAGAAAGAAACTGTCTTCAACATTAAAACTAAATACTTAAATAGCCATGCTAAGCTCATTTTAAGTCCACAAATAATATTTTACATTTACAATAGCAATAAAACTAAGGCATGCTAATCTCTAATTTATTGTTATCAATAATATTTAAAGTTTTAAATTGAAATAAAAAATATTTTTAAATTTTGTTATCTTTTAAACAATTTAAAAAATTTAAACTAACACACAAGAAATGCCATAAAACAAACCATGCCCATGCATAATAGCAATAAAACTAAGACATGCTAATCTCTAATTTATTGTTATCAATAATATTTAAAGTTTTTAAACTGAAATTGAAATAAAAAATATTTTTAAATTTTGTTAGCTTTTAAACAATTTAAAAATTTTCAACTAACGGACAAGAAATGCCATAATACAAACCATGCCCATGCATATCTAATGAATGATATTTTACTTAATTATAGGAGAAAACTGCAATACGAAATTGAATATGACACAGCATGACTTCACATGAATTGAATTTTTCAAAACAAATTTGAAATAGAAATTAGTTTGAAAATTTAACTCTTAGTTTGAAAATTAAAAAGTTTTAAATGCATCATGTTTTTTAATTATATAAATAATTCTATACATATATTACATATTCTATATATATTATGCATACAGCAATGCAAATTTTTATCTAAAATGCAGTAATTACACTAATATATAAAACCACTGCATCACGTTATTTATTTATTATGCAGCATGCAGATAGCAATATTTACAATAACAGCTCTTCTTAGAATTCATCAGTTTCTCAAAGGTTCCATTACAAAATAATTTAACCCAGAAATTTAAAAATAATTTTAATATCATTATCACACTTTAATGGGAACACCTTCACAAAATTAGTTAATTATTCACTTAATTATTATTACTCAATTATTCACTTAATGGGTAACAAGAAATATTACAGCATTTTATATCAACATATACACACTGCTAACATCGCTAATATCTATTTTTATGAACAATGCATGTCATTTCCTATTTACTAGTACAAAGTGGTTTATGCATATTATTTCCATTGTATGCACACTATATAAAACTACATATACATCTAAGCCAGGAGAAAAACTAAAATAGCTGTTGAAAGCAATAAATTCATGCACAGATGCACCTTTCAAGAAAAACAGATAAATGAAATCTTGGAATACAGTAATGTGGTATCCTGTAATAAGTATATTCTAGAGTTTTTACTAAATTATCACTTAGATTTTCTGCACAGATTACACAGCCTTTTTTAAAGGAAATACAATAACTCTAATTTCATTTGAAATTTAAATTAACTATCTTATTATGTGAAATATATCTTAATTTGTTAAAACTTTTAAAGGCAATTAAAAGGACTCATAAATGTTGAAATTTTATTTTTATTAAAATTTAAATTCATTGTGCCCTTATCAGAAATACTAGAAATGAATATATGATACATGATAAAAAGAAGAAAATCAGAAAATCATTAGGCAATACTTATCCTTTTCCTCTTACTACCTAACTCTTGTCTCACACTGAAGCATTTTCACTAAACATTTTGTTTATGTGCAACAAATCTATGCACATAAACTACATTCAGAAAATATATCAATGTAGAAAGATCATACCAATTGTTGAATCAAATAAGCACACCATGAAGTTGTAATAAAATGCTTCTCAAATTTTAACAGATGAGATTAGGTAATCCACATTTTAACTAATAACTATATTTGTATTTATATTCAAAATGCATAAGTATAGAACACTCATACATGTATGCTTTTATGAATTATGTGTAAGTGATATTCTCTGAACATAAAACATTAATCTTTCACTCATAAGAGAGGTATAATAACCCTCGGCAAACAACTGTCACTCCGTGAAACTTATATAGGTAACTTGCGTAGATTAGCCACCAGTGTAGATTAATGCACAAAATCCCACTTCTTGGAAAACAGCCTAAAAATTACACATGAGCCCATTTCTGTTTGCAAAGAACTGATCTAAATCCAAAAAATGCCATGAATGTTGGGTGCAATCTAAACTTGATAAACATGATCGATCCACAATGAGTTTCTTATTTAAATAATTTCCATTTTGTATGATTTATGGCCTAGAAAACAAACACAAAATTTAGACAGCTGATCTTGATACATTTTTCCGTATACTTGTAGAACAGTGAACGAAAAATCGCAAAATCACGCCTTTATAGATTTGAAAACCGTAACTAGTAGTGATGAGCAAGAGCATGATCCTACGATACACAAATAAGACACTCACCCGTAACGCATAGGAGAGACATACTTCAAAACAACTAAGATAGTTGTCTAATAAACACCTGGATTACATAATCTACTGAACTCCGCTTTCCCGTTCAGCACACTGTTCATTCCATGGCGTTCAAAAAACATCTCGGGTAAGAGCACCAGTATTCCATTAGAAGACACATTTCCGCCATATCGTTACGTCACTAGTGACGTCAATGACTGGCGGTCTTCGGAGCAGACTCGGAGGCAGTGGCTAAGTACTTTCCGAAGAAATTCCGATCCTTCCGTAAGTGGACATTTTCGTCCACCACAACAGGACGAAGTTTCCGTAGCAATTGTTTCTTACTCACTGTCTCGCGTTAATGTGTAAAATGTATCGCTTAAAATATTATTTTTTTACGAATGAAAAAGTACTATTCTATGCAAAAATATTCTTATAACTACCGTTTTGTTCTTGTAATTTTAATATTTATTTAACAGATGTTAAATGTGAAAATAATAAAATTTAACTATAAAAAATTAATTCCTCCTTTATTGATTTATACCGGCCTCGTGAAATATAACTTATTTTTAAAAATATGTAATCATGTCGTGAATTTAAATGATGAACGAATAGCAATTAAATAAATCAGAGGTTCTCAAACTTTTAAGTTTGTAACACATAAATAAGAATAAAAAAAAAATGAATTAAAAAAAATTCTGAAAGAGTTCAGGTTTTATATTACGCCCGAAGGGGCGTTTTTATAACGTTTTGTGCTACCTTTATTTATTGAATATCATGTCCTTCGCACTTAAACCATAAAATTAAAATCAACAGCAGTATCACAAAATAATTTTAAAAAGCACATGTTTAGAATTTCCCATACGCAGTCTCGTAAACTGAAGATATTTCTTTTTTTTTTTTTTTTTTTTTTTTTTTTTCATACAGTGTTGCCATTGCTCGCTTTGAAATCAAAATCAAAAATGTTAATCAAAAATTCGTAAAAGTTTTACAAAATATGAAATAGCTAATAAAACAAATTCCAAATAAGGGTTCCAGTTGCCCATATTCGGGAGGAGGATTACGTTATTCAGAATTTGATGGCTCTAGATGCCGTTGTTTTATCAGAATGCGAGAAACATTTTCACATTTATGCAGCTTATTCATTATTTAATTTCTTTACATATAATACAGGGTGATAATATTTGGTCGCAACATTTGAAAAGACATACAGCCTTTCAATGTAAAATACCAAAGGGAAATAGCCCCTCTAGGCTAACCCCTTGGGCTAAAAAAAATATTTGTACCATCATGTGCCAATTTATGTACCAAAAGGGATTCCAGTTCGCATTCCTTTTAAACAATCATTTAAATTTGCTTCATAAAAATATTACCACCAAAAATAATGTAATGAACCATTAGTGATACAAGTAGCACAATTTGAGAAACCCCGAATTAGAACATTTAAAGCTTCTTTCCAGTTTTCATATTAATGAAGCTGTCTTTCAGTTTTCCCAACGAAGTTTACAGTTGATAATTGTCATCAGAACGATTTTTTCCAAAGTGAAAGAATTTTTTTTATGTTAAAAATTTGTTGTGAATAAAAAACTACTTAAAATTTGATGCGATATATATATTTAAAATTTCTTACGAACCAAAATCAGACTTTCCACCTTGTTGAGGAAAAAAAAAAAAAAAAAACTCCAAGAAACTGGATTATTTCACGGTTAATTAATAGCTGCTTGAGCACTGATGTCTTTAATCCGCGGCTGAACTGCATGCGTAGCGTAAATATATGAAAAGAAAATTTGGGACGTAAACATAAGATTATGCAGCATAAACTGTCAACAATTCTTTTATTTCAGTGACATACGATTTTATGCTCGCCGTAAAAATTACGCCATACCTTTCAGGTGTTAAAAAACATAATTTCATTTTTTCATGCATAAAATTTTCGTGAGATGCACGCAAACATGTATACTAATAAGAAGGAAAGAAAAATAAATTTTATGTACAAATAAATCCGTAAGCAAGTAAAATTAGCTAAAATTTTATTTGGATTTTCATTAAGCATTCATTCATAAATTATTTGGGAAGAACTTTCTGAAATCAAACAGTTTGCATCATCATTTGATTCGAAAATTCTAAACAAATTCCTATTTTCTTTCTGCTAATTTGAAGTTATAGTCGTTTTGCTCATAATATTATTTTTATTTCTTGAAATTAAATTATGTAATGAAAAAGAATATTTGAGGTAAATTTTAATTCTATTAACTTGCTGAATATTGATATAGTACTCCCAAAAATGTTGAGAAACCTTAAATTCTGCTGAAAGCATAACATGAAAAGGTTAATTTTAGAAAAAGTTGTTAAAATTTTAAATTAAAATTTTAAAAAGTCATTTTTTGTGTTCTTTTAGTTTGGGCAATATGGGAAGAATTTAAATATCGTTTGACTTTATTTGGAAATCTATACTGTAAAAAAATTCTAATTTAGTAAACTTCTTGGGGTCACTATACGGTGTCCAGAGAAAAATCAACAAACTTTAGAAACCTAATAATTGTTTATTCCAAAAATAGTAATATAAAGTTTGTTAAATAATTGCTATAAAGATGAGTTTGCCGCAAGCTTCTGTTTTCTAGGGAATATAATAGTTCAAATAAAAATAATAAAAAAATAAAACAAAACAACTACGAAAAGAAAAACTGTACCTAAAAAAGGCAGCCGTCTATCAAAATTCCTCTGAGGACTCAGTGTTTTATACTCGGAATAATTTCAAAAAATCTATGATTAGGACTGCAGAATTTTCTAAGATTTTTAATGAAAGTTTTAGTATAGCATTTTTTCCTCAAAATGTGAAAAGAGTGATTAGGTCAACCGAATACTCTGTAAGTCAAAATGAAAACTTTCATGAGTAAGGGGGGGGGAAGACTCGAATTCTTATTTAAAAATCAATAATTTAGTCTTTCATCATACTTAGTTCATAATTTAAGTATTCATTAATCAGATTTACACTTTCATGAGGAAGGGAGCAAATTTAATGCTTTCAGTTCGGATAATCATGCATTTCATTAATTACATGGGATGAAATGTTAAATTCAAGGCGCAGAGCATACTTCAATACAAAGTATGGCTGTAGACGTGTACATGAGTGGGAGTTGCATGTTTGGCAAGTAAATTATAGTCTTTATTGAAATCACAACGAATTTTTAGAAATATTTGAACATTTTAATCGTACGATAATCGTAATTGAACATATCAAGACAATGACCTAAATGTTCTGCTTTTACAGGTTGTAGTTGCTTTGTAATTGCCCTGAAGTGATCGAACACTTCTTATATCACCCGATTTGAATTCACTGACACATATTTTTCATGAATTCGAGGTAAAAATAAGGAAACGTAATATTTCGTTAAAAACTTAACTGAAACGTGTGATGGAACAAAAATGGAATGATATTAGCAAGGAAGTTACAAATTTAGTTCGGTCAGTGGGCAAAATAGTACTAATCTTTTTGGAAATGAAATATTTTCATAAGGTTTTTCCACATTTTTTTTGTTTTGTTTTGTTTTGTTTTTCATACCATATTTCTGGTACTGTTTTTTTTTTTTTTTTTTTTTTTTTTTTTTGTAACTGCTGCTTAATTTTTAATTTTTTAAGTTATTTCATCAGCATTTTGGTAAAATTATGTTCAGTTTTTAAAATAGAATAAAAAGTTTAAAAGTGCAGAGAAACAATTATTTAATCTTTTTACTTACTACTTTTACTATAGAATTCAAGCCGTCTTAACTCTTTTGGGAGTCATTAAATATGTTACTATATTAGAAAAGAATCACCTCAAATCAATTAAAGATATTATCTTAAAAACCTTTTTTTTTTTTTTTTTTTTTTTTTTAATTCTCATGTATGTACAAAGGATGAAACTGACGCACAAAGATGTGAAGAAATATAAATCAAAAATTTGCTTTCTATATCTAGATTGGCTTTTACAGTGGATGGACAAAAATATGGAAACACCTTGTGAAATGCATGTTTGAAAAGAAAGATCGGTTTTAATGAAATATGTAGGTGGCGCTGGCGTTTATGACTACTGACGCCACCTATACAACTTCGTAAATGTGCTAAACAGTTCAGTTGTTGTCGGAGCACTGTTATGTGAGGTTGTCATTGCATTATGTCAGAGTTAACAGACTTCGAACGTGGGCAAATTGTTGGAGCACGTATGGTAGGTGCTTCCGTAAGCAAGGTAGCCGAGGTGTTTAGTGTTTCAAGAGGTACTGTATCGAAGATTTTATTCCGCATATTTGAAAAGCGGAAAACATCATCTGCTAAATCACAGCGCGGACGAAAGTGTGTCCTGAGTGATCGTGACAGACGATCATTAAGGGCAATTGGAACGAAAAATAAGAAGACCACAGCTGCAAAAGTTACTGCTGAAATGAATGTTGTGTTACCGAACCCTGTGAGTACCAAAACAATTAGAAGGGAGCTTCATAAACAGGGAATTGCTGGCCGTGCTGCAATTGAGAAGCCACTCATCAGTGATGTTAATGCCCGTAACAGGAAAAGGTGGTGTTTAAGTCATACAGCCTGGACTATAGAGCAGTGTAAGCGAGTAATATGGTCTGACGAGTCTTCTTTCACATTGTTTCCCAATTCTGGCCGAGTTTACGTCTGGAGAACGCCATCTCAAGCCTATAATACAGACTGCTTGTTGCCAAGAGTGAAACATGGCGGAGGTTCTGTTATGGTTTGGGCAGCCATATCGTGGTTCTCTGGTAGCCCCATGATAACTGTGTCAGAGCACATGACTGCCAAGATTTATGTGAACATTTTGGCCGATCAAGTTCATCCCATGGTACAAATTTTGTTTCCCGATGGTGATGGTGTCTTCCAAGACGACAACGCCCCTGTTCACACAGCTCACATTGTCCAGGACTGGTTTTCTGAGCACGAGGATGAGTTGTCCCATCTCCCCTGGCCACCACAGTCACCAGACCTGAATATTATCGAACCTTTGTGGTCTACATTGGAACGGAAAATGCGTTCTCGTTATCCTCCGCCAACATCGTTATCTGAACTTGCCACCGTTTTTCAGGAAGAATGGTATAATATTCCCTTGGCAAACATACAGGAACTGTATTTATCCATTCCGAGAAGACTGCAAGCTCTTTTGGATGCCAACGGGTTTCCTACAGCATA